GGGGGTTACCAGGGGGGATTAGTATCCAAAACTCTCCGGCCCCCCCCTCTTTGAATACCCACAGAAATAACCGGCGCGGCCTCCCTCGGCCTGGCCGGAAGGGGCTCTCTTTTTGTTTGGCCCTGGTCGCCTGCAACACTCGCCCGACATGAACTTTAGCCCGCTCCCTCGTGACGCCGCCCTCCGCAGGCTCAACGTCCGAGCTTTGTCCCCCGTCACTCTCCTCTCATTTCAGACCCCACACATGCGCATAGCTGTTCGCGCTTCCGACCAATGCAGGCGCCTTGCCTCACCCCTCTCACGGGCGGCCCCCATTCTCTCTGCTCTGCAGGACGCGCGCCGAGAGGCGCTACATGGTCGACTTCAATGAGAGCGAGGGCGAGTCGGCTTTCTTGGTTGTGAGATCAACAAAGGGCGTCTGGTTCGACAACCCCCACGTGTTCCATCGGAGCCTCGCAAAGGTGCCAATCAGCTTTTGTTTCGCGGAGGGGGCCCAGGTTCAGACCGAGCTCGGGCCAACGGCTTCCGTCAAGGTCGGTGGCTACTTCGCTTCCAGTGCGGAGTATGAGGAGTGGTATCAGCGCCGCCGCGCGAGCCTGACGCTGCCGCCTTCGCTCGGAGCTGAGGCGCGCACTTTTACGCCAGGATCGGCATTGTCCCTGCGGTGTCCCCGTCTCCAAACATTTACGTTTCTCCCTCGCGCAGGCGTGCGGCGTCAACAACGACGTCGTCGTGAAGGAGGAGGCCGCCGCCGAGGAGGCCGCCTCCGAGGAGGCCGTCGTCGCCGAGGAGTCCGCCACCGAGGAGGCGACCATCAAGTCCGCCGCCGGCGAGGTGTCCGCCGCCGCGGAGGAGTCCGCCGCCACCAAGTCCGCCGCCGCCGAGTCTGCCACCGAGGAGGCGACCACCGAGGAGGCGACCACCGAGGAGGCGACCACCAAGTCCGCCGCCGCCGAGGTGTCCGTCGTCGTAGAGGCAGTCGCCGAGGAGGCGCCCGTCACCGAGGAGGCCGTCGCCGAGGAGGCTGCCAAGGAGGTCGAGAAGCCGGCCAAGACCGTTTCCAACACGCCCGACCCAGCGGTGAGCGCGCCGCAGCATTCTCTCCTGGCACTCCTCGCTCTCCCACCGGTAACAATCTCCCTCCGGTGTGCCCCTATCGCGCTTGCAGGACACCACCTGCTACCCGGGCCTGCCCACGCCGAAGGCGGCGGAGAAGAGCGGGCCCGCGTCGGCCCGCAGCGGCTCCGGACCGGGCTACGTGGACGGCGTCGAAGCCGAAGTCCGCCGGCTGGGCGAGAGCGTCGTCTACCAGGCTACGCCCGCCGACGGCAAGAAGTCGCCGTCGCCGGGAGTCCCCACCTCCGGCGGCATTGCGCCCGTGGCGCCCAAGCCCCTTGGCGCGGTCGCGGGCGCGGGGCAGGCTGAGGCCGAGGCCGCCAAGGAGCGCGAGCACTGGGAGGGGCGGCTCAAGAAGGCGAAGGCCGCGCTCGATCTCATTGCCGAGCAACGGGAGAAGTGGGCGGACTTGCAGTCGCGGCGCTCGGGGAAGTGCCGGCGCAAGGCCATGCGCTGCCGCAACAACCCCAAGTTTGGCAAGGCAAAGGGCAGGCGCAAGTCTGGCAAGGCAAAGGGCAGGCGCAAGTCTGGCAAGGCAAAGGGCCGCGGCCGCGGCTCGCACCGGCGACCGAAGCCGCGCGGCGGGCCGCAGACGCCGCCTTGCAAGTCGCCGGACCGGCGCCGCGAGCCGCAGACCACGTCCGGCAAGGGGCCATTCGCCTCTGGCACGTGCGGCGCCGGCGCTGGCACATGCGGCGCCGGCGGTCGCGCCGGACTCAAGGCGGCGGCCGACTGCGTACGGGGCGGCTACACGAAGGCCGCGGGCGCCTTCCGGTGGCTGCTCCTCGTCTGCATCCCCGCCTTGGGCCACTGCGCGCCCGCCGTGCCTAGCCCGACGGCGGTGGCCTCGGCCTTCTCGTCTGCCGTCGCCTCGGCAGCCTCCGTCGCTTCGGAGGCGTCCTCTACCTTCTCATCCGGCGTCGCCTCGGCGGCGTCCTCGGCCTTCTCGCCCGCCGTCGCCTCGAAGGCGTCCTGCTCGCCGTTTCTCATGCCCGCCCTCGTGCTCATCCTACTCGCCATCGCCTGCGGCGCCTCCTGCCCGACCGCGGCGAGCGGAAAGGGGGCTCGGCGCGGCGTGGGCCACCTGCCTCGCCGCCGCCACGGCGTGCCTCCCCAGCGCGGCGGCGTGCCTCCCCAGCGCGGCGGCGGCGCCTGCCGGCTGAGCAAGAGTGGCGGCTTGGTGGCCTTCCTGCTGCTGCTCTCCGCCCTCCCCGTGGCTCGGGCTGGGTCGGGCGAGGCTGGGTCTAGCGAGCTCTCGCCTCCTCCGCCGTTGCCGCCGCCCTCTCCGCCGCCCTCGCCGCCGCCGCCGCCGTCGCCTCTATCTCCGCCTCCGCCGCCTTCCTTGCCGCCACCGCTGTCGTGTACATTTGTCCTCACCGCGACGCTGACGGCTAGTAGCATCCTGCAGCTCTCCGAGCTACGGTTCTTCGAGGGGCCCACGCAGCTCGTCGTCGCGACGATCAGTGTCCCCGGTGGCAGCAGCCCTGCCAATGAGGAGATCTCCAACCTCGTCGACGGCCTCTTAAGTACAAAGTGGCTCGACTTCCGGACCTCGGGCAGCCGTACGATCATCTTCACCATCGCCGGCGCACCCTTCATCACCGGCTACCAGCTGTACACCGCCAACGACGCCAACGGACGAGATCCGACGTCGTGGGCGCTCACCTGTGATGATGGGACGGCGGACAGTGTCTCCTCCTACTCGCCGCCGACCGCCAGGTTCACCTCATACGGGCTTGCGGCTTTCCGCAGCTTGCCACCGCCCCCGTTCCCGCCACCGCCTCCGCCATCTTCTTGCGCCATGGCGCTGGACCTCTCCACTCAAACCTCTCCGCTGTCATCGAGCACCGTCGGCGCTCCCAACACGCATGCCGCATCCTGCGGCGGCTCCGGCAATGAGAAGATCTTCTACGTCGAGGTGCCGGCAGGAGGCGAGCTCACGATCAGAATGACGAACAACTCGTACGACTCGAGACACGAGACGCGTTGGGGCGGGAGCTGCCCAGGCGACAATTCCGTCGCATGTACCGACGACCCAGACACCTTGCAGCACTCGTGGATCAACACTCAGGATTCGACTCAGAGGGCGTACTTCATCGTGGACGCGTACTCGTCCGGCAGCGGCGACTTTGTACTCGCGTGGAATGTCACGCCTTTGCCGCTTCCGCCGCCTCTGTCCCCGCCCCTGCCCCCGCCGCCTCTGTCCCCGCCTTTGTCCCCGCCTTTGTCTCCGCCGCCGCCGCCGCCGCCGCCGCCGCCGCTGTTGCCACCCTTCCTTTCGCCGCCACCCTCTCCGCCGCCGCCCTCTCCGCCGTCGCCGTCACCACCGCCGCCACCGTCACCACCGCCGCCGCCGTTCCCGCCTCCGTCCCCGCCTCTGTCACCGCCCTTGTCCCCGCCGCCGCCGCCGTCGCCGCCGCCGCCGTCATCGCCGCCGTTTCTGCCGCCGCCGCCCTCTCCGCCGCCGCCCTCTCCGTCTCCGCCGCTTTCGTCGCCTCCGCCCTCACCGGCGCACCCGCCCAAACCTCCGCCGCCGCCACCGTCATCGCCGCCTCCGCCCTCTACGCCGCCGTCCTTGCCGCCTCCGCCCTACGCGCCCCCGCCGTCCCCGCCGCCACCGCCGCTGCCGCCTCTGTCGCCGCCCCCGCCTCTGCCACCGTCATCGCCGCCTCCGCCCTCTACGCCGCCGTCCGTCCCGCCTCCGCCCACCGCGCCGCCGCCGACCCCGCCGCCTCCGCCGCTGCCGCCTCTGTCACCGACCCCGCCTCTGCCGCCGCTCTTCCCCGGCTTTGTCGCCGCGGAGAGCGAGGCTAAGCTCGGCTCCCTGATCACGGAGGCTGCTATTTTGCAAGCCGACGTCTCAATCTACCTGCCTCCCAGTGCGGACTTCAAGCTGGGTAACTATATCTACTGCAGTTCCAACATCAAGGTGACCGTCGCGAGCAGCGGCGAGGGCGCGACGCTCGACGGCCAGGAACAGACCGGGCTCTTCTACCTCCAGGGCGGCTGCAGCCTCACGCTGCGGGGGCTGACCCTCGTCAACGGGAGGGCGGAGTACGGCGGCGTTGTGGACGCGAACGGCGCAGGCGACGTCGAGATCATCGATTCGACAATTAGGGACTGCAGGGCTGACAATGTGCGCCGCTTAGAGCTACCACCGCCCTGCAGCGCCACACGGCAGCGAGGCGAGAGATGGAAAGGGACACGGCTGGCCTCACCCCGCTCTCTCCTCGCAACTGCAGTTCGGCGGCGTTGTCTACGTGTACAACAGCGGTGCGGTCTCGATAAGCGGCTCGGCCGTGACCGGCTGCTCTGCTGAGCGGGTGCGCCGCGTAGAGCTAGTCGCCTCCAGCAGCGCCACACGGCAGCGGGGCGAGAGAGAGGGACACGGCTGCCCCACCCCGCTCTCTCCTCGCAACTGCAGGATGGCGGCGTCGTCTGCACGCAGAACAGCGGTGCGGTCTCGATAATCGGCTCGAACCTGACTGACTGCTCCGCTGGCAATGTGCGCCGCGTAGAGCTAGCCGCCTCCAGCAGCGACGCACGGCAGCGGGGCGAGAGATGGAGAGGGTCGCAGCTGCCTCACCCCGCTCTCTCCTCGCAACCGCAGAACGGCGGCGTCGTCTATGCGAGAGATAACAGCGATTCCCCAGTCATCACGGGTGTCGACTTCATCAACAACAGAGCGGACGGGTCAGGCTCGGTGCTGTACCTGCAAAACCAACCCTCCGAACAAAGAACCTCGATCAGCGACGCCTCCTTCACCGGCAACGACGGTGTCACGATACAGACCATCAACTCGCCGATAGATTGGGACTGCCGCTTGGGCAGCTGGATGCCACGCCAGGGCGCTTTCGAGGGCGATTTCAGCGCCCCCGAGTGCAACCTTTGCTCCGCTGGCTACTACGGGAACACGATCGGCCTCACCGACAGCTCCTGCGAAGGTGCGTGTCACAAAGGCTACTTTTGTCCCGCGGGCACAGCGGAACCGCTCCCGTGTGCACCGGGCTTCTACATGCCCGTGACGGGCGCAGCCAGTGCCGAGTCGTGCCTCCCTTGCTCTCCGGGGACGAGCCAGTCCACAGCCGGCGCGGTACAATCCTGCGACCCGTGTCCTCCCGGCACGTTTGCCGATCAGCTCAACGCCACCGGCTGCACCGACTGCCCCGCGGGAAGCTTCTGCCCCAGTGCAGGCACCGTGCAGCCCCTCGACTGTGCCGCAGGGGAGTACCAGAACCTCACCGGCCAGGCTGCGTGCGTGCAGTGCCCTGCTGGCGAGTTCCAGCCGGAGCGCGGGCAGACGTCGTGCGATTTGTGTGCCGCGGGTGGGTACTGCGAAGTCACTGACGACTGTGGCGGCGGCTTCACGCCCTGCCCTGCGGGGAGCTACAACGATAAGACGGGCAGCAGCTCACCCGACGCCTGTCAGCAGTGCCCCCCTGGTACCTTTAGCCCGACCTCAGGAGCTAACAGCAGCGACACGTGCAAAAGCTGCCGCTCCGGCACCTTTGCTGCCGGCTCGCGCAACGCCGAGTGCGAGCCGTGTAAGGCGGGATCCTACCAGAATGCCACCGGCGCTGCCGGCTGCGTCCGGTGCGGGCTTGGCAGCTTCTGCCCGGTCGGCGCGTCGCTCGAGCTGCCCGCGGCGTGCGAGCCGGGTACATACGCCGACGTCACGGACAGCGACGGCTTGCCCGACTGCTTCGACTGCCCGGCGGGCTCGTCGTGCGGCGGCGGGGCTGCGCCGCCGGCGGAGTGCTCGCCGGGCTCCGTTGCCGCCACGCCTGGCCTCGCCAAGTGCGAGCGGTGTGAGCCTGGCACATCTTCCGGCGCCGGCAGCGAGTCGTGCAGCGAGTGCGCTGCAGGCACTTACGCCGCCAACCCCGGCCAGGGCCAGTGCGTCCCTTGCCCCCACCCCCTCAGTAGTGAGCGCGGCGCCGTCATCTGCTCCGTCTGCCAGAAGGACTTCTACCTGCTCCAGAGCGCCGACCCGTCCGACATCTTTTCCTCCCCGACCGACTACTGCAAGCCATGCCCGCCAAACGCCGAGTGCTCGGACGACACCACTCTCGCGACCATCGGCGTCCGAACCGGCTACTGGCGCGCCAGCCCCTCCTCCGCCGTGCTGACGGAGTGCCGCGACTTCGGGGGCGACAGGGCCGGCGAGGCGCGGTGCTCCGGCAGCGAGCGCGGAGCAAAACCGGCTTCTCGCCTTTTGGGGGAGGCGGGCTCGGACGAGTACTGCGCGCCTGGCTTCAAAGGCCCCGAGTGCCAGCTCTGCGCCGCGGAGAATCACTACCTCGCCGACGGCGACGAGTGCAAAGAGTGCGCAGCGCGCGGCGCCGCTGCGGGTCGCATCGCCGGCCTCGTCCTCGGCCTCTGCGTCGCGTGCGGCCTGGCGGCGTGGGCCTTCAGCATGACGGACTGGCGGGAGAAGCGATACATCGGCCCAATCCTTCGCTTTGCAGACCGCTCCGTCAAGTACTACGTCGGGGGCGGAATGACGGCCAAGGTCAAGATCCTGTTTGGCTTCTACCAGATCAGCACCGTGTTGTCCTCCACCTACTCGGCGCGGCTGCCGGACAAGTACACGGGCTGGACCGACAAGCTGGCCAGCGCGATCTCCATCGACTGGTCGGGCTTCTTCTTGCCGGAGCAGTGCCTCGGCTATGGTATGCGACTCCTCGTCAGCGCTCTCTCCCCCGTCGCCCTCATCGCACTGCTCATGGGAACGGGAATCGCGCTGCGGCTCCGCCGCTGGCGTGCCGCGCCGCCACCGCGCCCAACGGAAGCATCGGGATCGGGACCGGGAGCCGACACCGGACTCGTGGAGGCATCGATGTCGATGTTTGAGGAATCGACGACGTCGGTGATGTCGGCGGTGTCGGCGATCGCTGAAGCGATAAACACAGACGAGTCAACGGTATCTGCATCGCATGCGAGGCCGTGGTACGCAGAGGCGGCCCTCGGCCTCCTCGACCTCATGCCCGCCGGCTTGGTGCTCATCTTCTGCTTCGTGCCCTCCATCAGCGCCTCCATCTTCCGCGCGTGGTCGTGTCAGGCGCCTCCAGCCGATGACTGCCGTTGCTCACGCCACCCCTCAGACCCCACCCTCAGGCAACGTGCTGCTGCTAGGCCTACACCATCTCTCCGCCGAACGAGCCCCTGGAGCAGGTCTCCTACATGCGGCAGGACGCGAGCGTCGAGTGCGGCACCGAGGATCACGAGTCCATCACCGACCTCGCCATCGGCTTCATCGTCGTCTGGCCGGTCGGCTCGATGGTCCTCTTCACGTCGCTCCTCGCCGCCTGCTACAAGCCGCTGCAGGCCAAGTCGCCGAATGCTCTGACGCGGGCCACCGCCTTCCTCCACCGGGAGTACGAGAAGACCTGGTACTGGTGGGAGGCGGTCGAGCTGGCGCGCAAGCTCGTGCTCACGGGTTTCGTGCTGCTGATCCCGGAGAAGAACGCATTCCTTCGCCTCGTGGTGGCGACCCTGATCTGCTCGTGCTACGCCGTCGTGCTTGCCGTCGTGCGGCCGTACAAGCGGGTCGAGGACGACGTGCTAGCCGTCGCCACGAGCCTCGTGCTCCTCCTCCTCTTCCTCGGCACCAACTGGACCACCATCTTCCTCGGCATCGAGGAGCGGTACCAGGGAGCCGACCCCGCCGATGTCCTCGGCTTCGGAAAGCTCAATGTGATCGTGGACACGATGATCGTGCTCGTTGCTGTTGCGCTCGTCTTCTTCTTAATCGGCGCCGTCGTCGCCGCCCGCCGCGTCGCCGAGGTCCCCACGATCCGTCTCGTCTCGACCAAGCAGCCCCCCGAGCTGAGCATCGGGACCGGCATCACGTGGCACCTGTTCCTCTCGCACATCTGGTGCGTCACGCAGCTAGGGAGGATGATCAAGCCAGGCCGCATCCAACTCCACCCCCCTAATCATGCAGGTCGACCGGTCAAGACGCCGTCGGAAACATCAAGAGCGAGCTCCAGCTGCTGGTGCCGGGCCTCAAGATCTTTCTCGACGCGCGCACAGGCTCAGCCGCGCTGCTTTAGCTACACACAGCCCTTCTGACGCACCGCGGAGTGCGCACAGGTGGATGATCTAAAGGATATTGGGTCGCTGGAGGAGTACATCCAGCGCACGCAAATGATCCTCTTCTTCCTCTCGTGTGGCTACTTCCGCTCCAAGGCGCGCTCTCGCCGCCCTGTCCCGCGCTCGGGATCCTCTGGCTCTCATCGCACCCGAGTCTGCTGCGCCCCTCGACACTCCCCACGGCTCACCGCCCGCCTGCTTGCGTGCCACCAGAACTGCCTCCGCGAGATCCGCTCATCGCTCGAGATGGACAAGCCGATCGTCCTCGTCCAAGAGGCGGACCCTGCAAAGGGCGGCGCGACGTTGCAGGCGCTGCGCGGCGAATGCCCCGAGGACCTGCAGCCGGACATCTTTGAAAAGGGCTGGACGCACACCATCTACATGCGAATTGAGGAGTTTCAGCGCGTCTCTCTCAAGACCATCGTCGAGGCGCAGCGGGGCACAGAGCCAGCCGCAGTCCTCTCTCCCCTCCCAAGACCTCAGCCCCGGCACTCTTGAACCGCAGGCGGTGCTCCTCTGCTCGCCCGCCTATCTGAACCAGACCTCCCTCCCGCTCTGCGTGCCGGGCGAGCCCGAGAGCCAGTCGCTCGCCTTTGCCAAGGAGACCATGCTCTGGGCCTCACCGGCCAACGCGGGCGCACAGGTCTTGGCTGAAGAGATTGCCGGCGCCGTTGCCGGTCTCACCGTCTCCACCGCCGAGGCGCCCGAGCCAGCGGCCCACATGCTGCTCTACCTCAACGAGGACAGCTTCAGCGACGAGCGGCTGGCCGAGCAGGTCAAGCAGGCGCGCAAAGACAAGCGCAAGATCGTCATGGCGCACGAGAACGACCCGGACCGCGGTGGCTGCCTCTTCTCGAAGTTTTTCGAAGTCACGCCGCAGGAGCGGGCCGAGGGGTTGGTCATGATGCTCTCAATCTCAGGCGCTTAATCTCCCCTCACCCGCATACCCTCCCTTGCAGGAGCTCATCGCCGACGGACTCTACAAGACCCTGGCACGCTCGTGCTTCCCGGGGCGCCACCACCCGGCGCGCGCTTTGTCTCTCCCACATCTCGCTTCGCGCACCGGCGGGACTCACCAGCCAGGGCGTTTCGTTCCGCAGGTGTCGCTCGCGCTTCTGGCAAAGGACCTCGGCGCGACTCCCGCTCGGTCGGGCAGCGTCGCCAGCATGAGCCGCCTCTCGGCCAGCATCGCCAAGCGTGGCAGCCGGCGCGTTCCCACGATCAGCCGCCGCAGCTCTGCGACGACAACCACCGCGGGCGACGGCTCTGGAGGCGAGGCGACGGTCTCGGTGGACTCGGAGGAGTCCGCGGTCTCGGCGGAGGCGGCGCAGGAGCATGTCTAACGTTGGCGGCAGTCGCCACAGCACACAGGCGTCATCTTGAGCAATTCACATAAGCAGGGGCGCCAGCGACCCGCCGGGGAGGAGGGGTGGGAGGCGCTTGCCGCGTCGGCGATCTCCGCGGGTCTGGGTCCATATCCGCCGCGCGCTCGCAGTGATGGGGACTTTCGCGCAGCGGTGTGCTGCGCGGCGCGCCTTCTCTGGAGCGGAGAGAGGCGTGGTTGGGGGGAAGGAGCTGGGGCGGAGGGAGAAGATGCACAGCTAGGCGCCCACTGGCCGTAGTTGCCCACTGGCCGTAGAGGCGTCTCTCGCGCGCGCGCCGGCCAGCTGGCGGGCGCCCAGCGCTGGGGTCCTAGATTGGGTTTTGGGTAGGGCGGGAGGCAGGAGGGGAGACGACGAAGAGGGTCTCGCGTGCGCACACCGCGCGTCGTTGCATGTACTTGAGCGTAAATAAATAAAAACGGAGACGTCTCTAAACTGCGAGATGGGAAAAAGCTAAAAGGAACAGGTCCCCGCCCTTGCGATCTTTGGAGGGTTCTGTACTTGAGCGTGCCCCGCGGGAGGTCCCACATTTTTCTTCACCTCAGATACATTAGGAACATTACATACTGAACACTCAAAAAATAATGAACTACAAGACCCGCAGAACTTCCCGCAGAGCAGACCGTACAACACTCACACACAAGCAGCCTAGAGTACACGCAACGATTCCAAAGAACAGTCGGTAGCGGCGTCGCGTGAGGGCGCTACCCACAGAGGGCAAGTGCCACGCGACTGCCGATCAGCCTACTCACGCGACCGGCCCGTAGGCACGGTCGAGCAGCGTTTGCGGGCAGTCGACCGGCTTGGACGTTGCGACATGGAGGTTGTGCGGGAAGGCGCCTTGGTTGCATCCAAGCTGTCCGAACACACCGAACAGCACTTTGTGGCAGGCCTGGAGTGCCTTGTGATCGCCGTCGGCGCCGCCCCAGATCGTGTCGCAAAGCGACTCGTCCTCGAGGCCACCGGACACCGCGCACTGCGATGGGGAGCCGTCCTTGGGGCAGATGTCGTAGAACTCACCCCAGCCAGAGTACTCCGTCAACCCGTTGGTGTTCGCGCCAAGCCCACCGCCGGGCACCATCAGGTCCATGTTGTTCTTGCTGCTGTCTCCGCCGTTGGTGTTCATCACGATGGCGGAGTCGATGTTGCGTGCGTCGGTGAACGTGAGCTCGTAGCACTGTCCGCACGGCGGCCACGAAGCCGTAGAGCACTCGGTCCTCAATCCATGGGTACTGGTCGCCGTGCCGCCTTGGCACACGTTGTCGTCGTCATCCTTGGGGGTGTATGGGGTCACACCGTCGGCCTCGCAGGTTCTGACGAGCCTCGTGGCATGTGCCGAGAACGCGCAGCTTGGGCGGCAGCCATCGTAGTAGTGCGTCATGCTAAAGATGGGCTTGCCGAAGGGATCTTGCTTGGGTTCGCATGTGTAAGTGGGGTTGCTCGGGTCGTAGTCGTGCTTCACACGCGCATCGGTCACGCAGCAACACGGCTCGTCCGGATCGTGAGATTGACCGTAGCTTGAGTTGCTCAGGTTCGGAGCGCACGTGTTGGGTGGCGCCGAGGCGATCTTCAAGACGGGAGCAGCGTGGATGGAGGCGAAGGCGAGGGCAAGCATGATTTTGTGTCGCGAGCAGCAGTCGAAAGTCTAGCCGAAAGCAGTGACCAGTTTCATCCTTTCTCGCTTCCTTCACCTCCTTCACTCGTCATTTATTCAATGTCGGCAGCCGATGAAGGACGACAGTCGACATTTTTTTGGCAACTCGCTTCCTCGGACCCGCGGTTGCGTCGGACGCATTGCATTGCCCTTTGGCGCTCTGAAAAAAGAACCCAAATTGAGCTTACGGCAAAATCGGAAAGGCCGGCGTCAGGACTGAGATAAGGACGCGACGGCGGATTCGCCGACGCTCTGCTCGGACATGAGCAAGCGGACGGTCGCGTACACTTCAGCTGCACAAACGTGCTCGCGCGCGCCCGACCATTCGGCTTCCAACTTTCGTCGATTCTGCAGCCGCTTGCACTGTGGCTGTTGCGGATTACATCCAGGCCACCACGCAGCTGTCGTGGCCCCCGCGGCAGCCGGTCCCATCCTGTTCCCCAATGACCCCCTACCCCTGCGGCGGCAGAGCCGCCGGCCTCCCACGCCCTACCCCCCTACCCCACCCAAATGCTATCGTACCCTACCGCCACAGCCCCCTCCAAGCCGAACCCTGCGTGTAGCGTCCATCACGCCCCTGCGATCCAACCGCGCCCAGCCACGGAAGACATCGCGGGCCTCTCCTTTGGCCGACGCCAGGAAAAGAAACCGGCATGTTTGCAGTCGACCCGTGCACGCGCACATGGGCAAAAAGCCCAAAGACCGGCACCGGCGCGAGACCCAGAGGGAGGCGGAGCTGGCGCTCGAGCGGGAGCGCGATTTGAAGCGCGCGGCGAGGCGCCAAAAAGCCGAGGCCAAGCTCGCGGCGGCGGGGCTGGCAGTGGGCGGGCCTTCGGCGTCGACGGCCAGCCCGTCAATGGAGGTGGAGGGGCCGGCAAACCCATCGCTCGAGCCCACTCTGAGGAAGAAGGGCACTTCGAAGCGCAAGGTGGGCAAGAGCGATATCGACCTGGCCGTGCGTAAGGCGCTGCCGCGGCTGAAGGGCAGCGGGATGATAGCCAAGCGGCGGCCTCGCACACCATCCAAGCTCATGAAAAAGCAGATGAAGCGCGTTGCGCAGAGTTCAGGGATGGACATATAGCTGTCGCAGAGACGAGGTATGCAGGAGAGGTTTGAAATGGCGGGCGCGTAACGTCTAACGACAATCTAACGTCTAACGAGATCGAAAACAGCCTGCGCCCGCGCAGGGCGGTGCAGCGGCGCGCGCGAATCGCAAAATCTCAGGCACTCTCGCGAAAAATCGGGGCAGTTTCCGCCCCGCGGCGCGAAAAGAAGGAAGATGCGCCCCACCGCTCACCGACTGGGAGGCAGGGGCACCGCGCCGCGCCGCGCAGGCGCCGCCTCCGAAAAGGGAACATCTCGACGCGCAGTCGCGCTCTCACTCTCTCTCAGACTCAGTCGCCGCCCCCGAGGCCGGCCACGCTGGGTGGAGCCGGTATCTGCGAAGCCCCCGCGCCCACCAGTCCTCCTCGGCGTCGGACTCCGCGAGCCGCTCCGCGCGCGCCACGAGCGCCGCCTCGTTGGCCGCGTCGGCAGACACGTCGACAGGGATGGCGCGGACGGGCAACGGGAGATCTCTCCCACCGCGACCCTGGAGCGGGCGAGGGCGGCCGGCTCAGAGGGCGCCCCGCGCTCCCCCGGGCCTCCCGGGCCGGCAAACCTGGCCGCCGGAAACGAGGACGCGCCAGTCGGTGAAGACGTGCCTACCGAGGGACCAGTCTGGAGCGGTCAACCCCCCCTGTGGAGCGCGCCCCGCTGGTCAATCAAAGGGCGCACTCGAACACGCGGACCGTGTGAGGCGCGAGCTGCGGCGAGGTGATGACGGCCACTTCGCCGAAGCGGATGAGAGCGCGTTGCCGCTTCGCGAGCGCCTTCGAGTAGAGCGCCGCCTCCTGCGAGAAGGAGGTCGTCGGAGGGCGGGAGGGCAGAACCTGCGGCCCGGGAGGGGGCACCCACCCACAAGTTGCCAAACTCAGCACTGGTCTCCTTGAGCAGCGCCTCGATCCTCCTCCCCGGGCCAAAGGCGTCTATCCCGCCTGGAGTGACCCTCGCCACCTCGCTCATCATCGCGGCGGCGATCAGGCCGCCGCTGGCGCCGCCGCCTCCGCCGCAGACGACGAGCGAGCGCGCCACCGCGCCGGAGAGCTCGACCGCGGATGCGATCCCGGCGGCGACGGGCGGGGGGAGCCGTCCTCGGCCCGCGGGTATGGAGGGTTGGCTCGATGCTGCGCGCGGCGGCGGCCTCTCCCCCATGAGCCCGTCCGCGAGCACAACGACCAGCGTGGCCCACGGGTCGCCCGGCTGGTCGCCGGTCGGCAGGTGCGTGCCCCCTCCCGGAACGCCGCCTCCCGGAACGCCTGGCACGAGCCGCGACCTCCCACCCGAGGGCGGCCGGATGGCCTCCATATGCTCGCCTCGGCCGTGCTTCGGGGGCTCCGGCGACTGCTGACGGACGATCGGCAGCGGCGAGGCGTGCAGCTGCATCGCGGCCTGCAGCTCTTCCGACATTCGTTCGGCAGTCCACGCCGTTGGCGCGGAGTCTTTTTTCTTAGTGCCGGTGATAGTACTAGCACGCGCCAGTTCGCACCTGTGTCGAGCCTGTGTGCTGTGAGAGAGAGTTGTCTTGTTTAAAGTCTTTTTTCTTGCTGGCACCTTTCGTCTTTAATCTTCTTTCCGGTTCACTTGCGATGCCCCGCCACGATAGCGATGCCGCTCGGTGCTTCTCTCATTTCCCCCGCCCTACTGCCGCCCTAGGCTGGGCCTAGGGCGGCTGGCGGCTGGCAGGCAGCGCGGCACTCCCTGGCGCCTGGGTGTGGCCCTTGCGGCTCGCCCCCACGTGCTTCCCCCGTGAGCCGTATCTTGGCCCTAACCCCCGCCTGGGACCCGATAGGGTGCCCACAGGGCCCAAAAAAAGAAAGGAAAAAAGAAATGGGCCACCCCCGATCGCAGCACTTCGTGTTGGCCAGTCGAGAAATTGAGAGTGTGACTAGGAGGGTGGGACGCTGGGGATTCTCAAAGGTATACCCTTGGAATGGCCGGATCCAGCCTTAAAAGTACGAGATCGCGCGCGCTTCGCGCGCTGCACCGCCTATTCTCCGCGGCTGAGTGACGACGCGTGCCGTGTGCCAGCAAAGTTGGGCGCGCGCGGCGCGACGGCGCCCGCGAGGGAAGGCGCGGGTGCAGCGGCCGCCGGCGGCCGTACCGCCCGCCAGCCGGCGCAGCAGCGGCCAGCGCAGCGGCCGCCGGCGCAGCAGCCAGATCAGCCGGTGCGCGCCTTGCGAGGCGAGTACTGCCGCCCGGCAGCCTTGAGGCGGCCGGGCGGCAGTACTCGTTCGAACTTTGCGAGCCGTGCGCGCGCCGAGGCGCCCGCGGCGCGCGCCCGCCCGGCTGCCAGTAGGAGGCGGCGCAATATGGCCTATAGTACAGCCCTTGAGGAGGAGGAAGAGGCTTGCTGGCAGTGCTGTATGCCGCCGGGGGGCAGTTTTGGGGTGCTGTCCCCATCCCAGGGGGCTGCAGAAGGCGTCCGCAACCGGGACAACCCGCCCCCCCAGCCGAGGCCGGTCGAAGCCCACTTGGAGGCAGCCATGAGGAGTCCTCTTGGTGCTCCTGGCGCCCGTTGGAATGGCGAGCGCGCGCCGAGGGGGGGGGGGGGGGGGTCTTGCTTGCTCCACACCGAGCGCCATCGGTCCGGACCGGTGCCTCCACCGAGGGGTGGCCTGCACAAGGTCTGAGCCGCGGGCGCTCGGCGCCAAGTGCAGTGTCACGCTCGCACGCGAAGGGGACACAATGGGAAACCCTCGTTTCCTATGTACTCGGTCCCCCAACGGAAGAGGCCTCGCTCCTATTGGAACTGGCCAACATCAGATTTGCCTCGTGCGTCCCTTTTTGAGTCGGCAAGCTATTTTCTTTTGGGTCCTGTGGGCACCCTAGACCCGAGCTAAAACTTGATTTTTTATAGTTTTGAGTTTTCCTAGCATTTACAGTGGGTTGCGGGCATTAAGAAAACGTTCCATCCACCAAGAAACCCTACCAAGCGATATCCGCAAAAACCTAAGAAACCACGGCGCGCCGCAGGCGCGGCCCCGAGAAAAGGCCAGACACGAGTGTGAACGGCTGGTGAACGGGAGGCCCAGCTCAAAATTTCTCTTCGCCTGCGGCGCGCGCACTTGTCACTTTCCAAGTCTGCGGTGTTCTGAGTGGATGGAGTGAATGGAGGCGTGTGTGCGTCTTCCCGTCATCCAGACAGAGAGCCGACTCGGCGGCAGACTCTGGCGCATCGCCCTCGCGGACCGCAGCTTACCTCTTACCTAAAAATCCTTCGGGCCGGCGCTCTCTGGCTTGAGTGCCCCGGCCGGAGCTAAGAAACCACGGCGTGGGGTGGATGAGGGCTGTGGAAAGGCTAGAAACGGCGGCGTGCCGCGCAATCCTGTTTTCTTAATGCCCGCAACCCACTGTACATGCATGTACCAAAAACAAGTCGCTAACAGTTTTGTCCGTTATGTGAAAATCGAATTCGCTGGAGATCACAAACCTCAAAAGCACAATCTCAACCCTCCAGGCACAGACAACCAATTTTCTAAAATCTCTCTCTCTCACATTTATAGACCACTCGCAGAAAGGAAGAGAAAAAACCCACGAGAGATCTGCTGTGACGACCCCCGCGCCGGCGCGGGAGAGAGAGATTGTGGAGGGAAGAGAGAAGAAGGGAGTGGTCTAGAGAACAATCTGCTCTCACAAATGAGAGACACGTAGCAGCCACTGTACGACTCGGCCTCGCCGGCATAGCCAACCCTCCGGCACCGCGGTTCGCGCGAGAGGCCAAAGGTTTCTTATGCGCCGTTCCATCCGGCGACGTCCAGCAGCTCCGCCTGCCACGAGCCTACATCCTCGACGGTGGTGGAAGCGCTCGTCACCGTCACCTCGGACACCTCGCCACTGTCGCGGAATATCTTCATCTTGCGGAGGCGCGGCGCGTACACGTGCATCGTGACGGCCGGCTCCAGCGAGCGGTTCTCGATGCGGTGGATCCCAATCTCATTGTTGGCGTAGGTCTGCTTGCAGCCGAGCTCCGGCCCATCGCCCGGGCCGCCCAGCGGAGACACTCGGATCCGCCGCAGCGGGCCGCACCTGCCGCGAATGTGGCCCGCCGGGTCGGCCGGGGCCCCCTCCAGCCGGGCCCGGGCTCGCTCAAACTTTCGGTCGAGCAGCGGCAGGTCGAACTGCACTTCGTGCACCTCGCCCTCCACGGCGGTGACCCAGCAGGACGACTCGTCGTGGCAGTGGATGGTGCTCTGCGACCCGGGCGGCCAGCACATCATCAGCACCTCCATCGCTGGCGTCGAGTGCACCACATTCCTTGTGTAGCGGCCAGGGTCGTCCTCGTCCACCGAGAGGAAGCCGCCGTACTCTTCCTTCCGCGGGTACCAGCGCCGAAGCTCCGCGGCCACGGCGCGCACGTCGTGCTCGGCGGTCCGGCTCGTGCCCGAGAGGTGCCGCGTCAGCGACTGGAGCAGCGAGCCGAGCGTGTGGGCGTGCGGCACCAGCATACCGCCGCTGCTGAAGCAGGGCTCCCCGCCCTCCGACACTTCAGCGAGCGCCGTCTGGATGGAGGGACGGATCGTGCGCTCGAAGCGCTGCGCCTCGGCGCGCGACAGCAGGGTCACCACAAAGGTGGCCTCGCCGCCCGCCCCAGCCATCACCCGCACATCAGAGACGCCTGCCTCGACGCTGTCAAGCTCGAGCGACAGCTGCTGCACAACCCGCTCAAACGCCGCGCCCATCCCGGCCGCCGCGCGGAAGGAGAGGACGACCATGGTCTCGCCGGTGCCGATAGGAGTCATATCTTGCCACGAGCTCGAGCAATCGCTGTCGAGCACCGGCACCGGCGGTGCCTGTTTCTGGCGGCAGGCAGCTCGTGCGAGCGCCGAGAGGCCGGTCATGTACCGCGGCTGCGAGACAGCCAGCCGCAGCGCCGGCGGCCGCAGCGCCGAGGCAATGCGATGGTAGGACATGGCTCTGGACTGCACACACAAAGCAAGACAAGGAAACAGCCATCGATTTTTGACACGCGCCTCGAGACCTCGAGAGCTCCTTGGCGAGAGCTCCTTGGGCCTAGGGCGGCTGGCGGCTGGCAGGCTGCGCGGCACTCCCTGGCGCCTGCCTGGGTGGCCCTTGCGGCTCGCCCCCACGTGCTTCCCCCGTGAGCCGTATCTTGGCCCTAACCCCCGCCTGGGACCCGAGCTGAGGACCGCACTCCTCCGAGCTCCGTATAGCCGCACACAAAAACAAACTAGATCCAGCCGCATAATACTCATCACTCTCCAAAAGTGAAAAGTGCTCCGCCAATCCAATTAGAACTGAGCTGGGCTGGGCCTGGGGGGGCGAACGGGCGATGCCGGACGTGGGACGGAGCGAGTTGTGGCGCCAGCACTTTGGAGCACTCTTGGAGTGCTCAGTGCAGAGTCGCGAGTCGGCAGCCGCACGCGCCGCACGCCCAGGACCGGGGAGCTAAGAAGCGCACCCAGTTAGCCAGACGATTGGGATCGGGTTACGGGCTACAGAGAGCCCTAGCCCTGCGAGCCCTAGGGGGTGCGCGGTCGCAGGGCCATAACACGCGCGGGTGGGGTCCAGCCCCTGATTTTTCCCCCGGATTGCGGATAGCGGATTTGACACTTTTTGGTTTTGTCCAGTATGTGCATTTAATGTGAAGCACTGCTATCCGTGGCCCCCCGCCCCTCGCTCACCGCCCGACGTCCAGCCGAGGGCCGCCGCGCGCAAGCGGTCGAGCAGCCCCGCCCCCCTCATCGCGAAGAGCGCCGCCTTGTTTTTCAGCGTCGGCTTGGCAAGGCGCAGCACGCCCTGCTGGGCGCACGAGGCGACGAGCTGTCCTGTTGCACGCCGATGCGGTGACGAGACGGCGAGAGGGGCGGTGGAGCGCGGGCGATGCGGGGAGGTCTCGCCTGTGTCTGGGCGGTAGAGGTGGCCAAAGCAGAGGGCCCTGCCGGACCCTATTCAAAAAGCAGCGCCCTGAAGAGGCCCCCTGTTCACGCCCTCCGGCAGAGGGGCCAGCCTGGCCGCCTGCAAAGGGCGCGTGCATGTCGTAGAGGAGCCAGTCATCGGCGTCGAAAGGGCCGTGGAACCACATCGAGTGGTCCAGCGTCGCGAGCGCGCCCAGCTTGGGCGATGGGAAGGAGATCCGATGGGGCCGCAACGCCGTGAGCAGGAGAGGCTGGTCCGAGATGTACGCGGCGCAGGCCGCGTCCAAGCCGGGAGCCTTCGTGATTGGCTCGCGGATTCGAACCCACAGTAGCTGGCGGCTGGGCATGCTCGGCGGGTCCGGGTCGAGCGGGTCGTGAGGAGCGCCCACCGCATACCGCACCTCGATCGGCGATGCGCGGAGCTCCTCAATCAGCGGCAGCAGCGCCGCAGGGGCGCGTGCCATCAGGTCGCCGAGGAGATCGTCCATCCCCAGGCACTCGTCGGGGGCAACCACACCTCGAGGCATGCCGGTGACTCCGTCCGCTCGCTCCACGTGCCTCAGCTGCGACTCCTCGGGCCGCGCGAACTGCGCCTGCATCTTGAAGATGATTTGGCCGTTCTGGATGGCGTCCACGGAGCGCGAGTCGAAGGAGCGCAGATTGGAGGTCTCGCGGCACTGGTAGATTATATCGCTAGTTGGACTGCCGCGCTTCAGAAAGTACGAGTGCAGCGAGATGGGCAGCCAGGAGTCGCGGTGGACGGTCAGCTGGGCGGCGTGCAGAGCCTGACCCATCACCTGCCCGCCGAAAACTGACTTGCCGCCCGGTGGCACCCACAGGAGCTTGCTCGACGCACGGTAGAGCCCGCTGTCCACCTGCGTTCGTCAGGTCGTGCTGGAGGCCGAGTGTACTGCGGTACGTGTGACGAGCGCACACCTCGTCGAGGTCGAGGTGCGAGCGCCTCGTCGGACGCAGCTGGTGCCGGGTGAACCGGGTCCGGACGGCGAGCCACACGACACGGCGGTGGGGACGAAGGCAGGCCTTGCCTCTCATGTACGTACGTCTCTCTCTCTCTTGTTTCGCAGCCACTTCGGCGCCCGCGCCAAATTCAGTTTTCTTTTTAGTAATTTTTTTAGCTCCACTGTATTCCATGACGCCCCGGCTCGGGATGTGCTCGCCTGTCGCGACGGCTGCCCCTCCCTCGCCGCCAACCCGTCTCCTTGCCTCCTCTTCTCACGGACCACAGGGGCTGCACAACAAAAGCACACAAACACCCCAAGTGTTAGATTTGGGAAAAATAAAAAACCTTCTCTCTCCAAAACCGGTGGTGCCAGTCCGCGCCAGTCCGCGCCCTTGTCGTGCCAGCCTGCGCAGTGCCATGGCCGCCCACCGCATCGGCGCACGTCTCGCGGGCCTCTCGCCGGAGCAGCTGTGCGCCTTCATCGACGAACAGGCGCCTCTCTGGAGCGCCGCCGCCTTGCGCGTGGCGGAGGAGCACGCCGCACTCGTGGAGCAGCCCGAGTGGGTGCTCTCCGAGGTCCTCCTCTCGCCGGACCTCGCCCCGCACATCCTCGCCCAGCTGCCGACCAAGGCGCACGCCGTCAAGGGGACGTGCCGCGCGTGGCGCCGCGGCTGGAAGGAGACGCTGAAGAAGCGCGACAGGCCGCGCCTGGTCGTGTTCGGCGGCCACGGCAGCAACGACGAGCCTGTATCCTTCATCAGCTCGCTGGAGCGGTACGACCCCTCTACGAATGAGTGGGAGGGGGAGACTGTGGCGCCGATGCTGACGGCACGCGACTGTTGCGGCATGGCGGTGCTCGATGGCAAGCTCTACGCGGCGGGCGGCAGGGACGAGGGAGACGAATCTTGCAACCTGGTGGAGCGGTACGACTTGGCTACGAAAGGGTGGGAGGTTGTGGCGCCGATGGCGGTGGCTCGGAATCAGCCTGGTGTGGCGGTGCTCGACGGCAAGCTATATGCTGTGGGCGGCATGGAGACTGGCGACGGCGGCGTCCCCAACCGCCTCAGCTCGGTGGAGCGGTACTGTCCCGCGACAAACGCGTGGGAAATGGTGGCGCCGATGGGTTCGGTGCGGCAGAGTCCCGCAATGGCGGTGCTCGACGGCAAGCTGTATGCTGTGGGTGGATACGGCATCGAGGAGGAGGAGGAGGAGGAGGAATGGGGAAACGACGGCCGCCCCCTCAACTCTGTGGAGCGATACGATCCCGAGATGAATGCGTGGGAAGCGGTCGCGCCGATGGGGTCGAGCCGAGACGAATGCGGCGTGGCGGTGCTCGAAGACCAGCTGTATGCTGTGGGCGGGGAAGGTTCGGAGCCCGACTCCGACGACGGCGACGGTGCCCTCAGGTCGGTGATTCGGTATGATCTCGCGACGAACACGTGGGAGACGGTGGCGCCGATGTCGACAGAGAGGAAAGCGCTCGGCGTGACGGTGCTTGACGGCATGCTCTACGCTGTGGGCGGCGAAAACTACGAGGGAGTGGCGGACGACGACTACGAGGGTCCATTCATGAAGAGTGCAGAGCGTTTCAACCCGGCGACGAGCGCTTGGGAGGAGGTGGCGCCGATGGCGGCAGCGCGGGCCTTTGCTAGCGCGCTCTCGATGTAGAGGGTGAATCAGGGCAGCTCTCCGATGAGGAGCTGCTGTGCGCAAGGCGCCCCAGCTACCGCCCGTGCCCATGTTCTTCAATGCACGTCAATTCTTTGCCCTGCTGTGTGAGTGTGAGCAAGAGTTTGACTTGCACTTGTAAAGCCGCGTGCTCCGGAGCACTTGGAGTGCAGTCATTACGGCTCTAACCTCACATCCGGCCGGGGATAAATAAATAAATAAAACCGTCAAACTCTGAGACGAGATGGGATTTAGGGACGTGTGTCCCCGCCACCTGCACGATCTTGGTGTGAGGGATCTTCAATCCGTGTCCCCTCACCCCTCGTCACAACCCGACACGGAAGAGCGGCAAGAGTTGGGGCGCTGCGGCTACGGCTGCGGCTACGAGAGGGGCCGGGGTCGCGGGAGAGCCGCTGCGCCGCGTGGACGCGCCTACACCGCTCTTGCTCCGCTCGCCACCTCTCGCAAAGTCCAAAGTCATACAGTGGGTTGCGGGCATTAAGAAAGCGTCGCATTAAGAAACCACGCCGAGCGATTTCAAGATTTCTGCAAAAATCTAAGAAACCACGGCGCGCCGCAGGTGCGGCTCCGAGAAAAGGCCAGACACGAGTGTGAACGGGAGCTCCCAGCTCGTCAAATGAAAATTTCTCTTCGCCTGCGCGGCGCGCGCACTTGGCATTTTGCAAGTCTGCGGTGTTCTGAGTGAGCGGTGTGGATGGAGGCGTGTGCGTCTTGAGTCGGTGGCAGACTGGCTGGCGGCATCGGATCCGGGACCGCAGCTCACCTCTTCCGACTATCCGGGGCCGGCTCTGACCTTTGACCTACCTTGATTGAGTGCCCCGGCCGAAGTTAAGAAACCACGGCGTGGGGTGGGTGAGGGGTGTGGAAAGGCTTAGAAACGGCGGCGTGCCGCGCAATCCTGTTTTCTTAATGCCCGCAACCCACTGTAGCCATCACCTCCTCCGGCAAGTCCTTTTCGCCTATCTTGCCGTCCCTCGGCCCCCTCCAAGGGGGGGAGGGAATTGCGGGGTCCCCACGGGCGCCTCAGTTCGGCCCTCCCGAGCGAGGGGGGGAGGGGAGCAAGGGGGAGAGATATCTCTCTCTCCAAGGGGGTGGGGGGATTGGGGTGGTGGGGAGGGGTCTCGGTTTCGTGAGGCTAATACTTGCCTTTCGGGGAGGGGCCTCCGTTGGAAGGCGCGCATGCAGCCCTACGTCTTGCACACCTGTCGTTGGTGGTCAGTGAAGATGCTCTCTTTGCGGCCAAAGCATTCCAACTCGACAGGTCTATTTTTTGGGACTGTGTCGTATGTCGGTCGCCAAGGCAGTGATCGGCGGCGGCCTGGCGGCGGCCGTCTACTTTTACGCGCCCTCGGAGCTTGACGCCGACGCGGTGGCCGCTCCCGCCACCAGTCGCGCCGCGCCGCCATCGCTCACAACCCCTTGCCGCCGCGCACGCAGGTGGTCCGTACCGTCAAGCCATTTTGCTACGGCATGGCGCTCTTCTGCGGCGGCATCGCGGCGATCGCCGCGGTGGGCACGCTCGTACTCGGCTCAATGTACGGCTCTCTCATCGAGGGCAACACCTTCAAGATTGACGAGTACGTCCACCAGCAGCCGTCCATGGCGCAGCGCGCGCAGGTTGTGCTGCTGAACCGGCTCAACGTGGGGAGCCACGTGGCCAACAAATCGGCGTCGATCGCGCTCGAGGACGCCGAGTCGCCCTTCGTGCCCTCGCTCCGCGTCACCTCAAAGGCGGGATCGCGCGCCGGCGCGACCGGCTTCAAGGCGCCGGCCGAGGCGATCGTCGTCGGCACAATCCGGATGGGATTCGGCCACCACCGCATCGCGTACGCGGCGACGTCGTGGGCGCTCGGCGCGGGGCGGCCGACGTACTTCCACGACCTGCTCAACGTCGACTCGCCCGAAGCCCAGCTGATCATCGACATGGACAAGCTTTACTCCAAAGGCGCAGCCGGGACGCCGCTTCCCACGCACGCACGCACGCACGCACGCGCACACGCGCACACGCACACGCACGAGCAAGCAAGCAAGCAAGCGACGCCGTAGCGGCGGCCCCTCGGGCGTCACCCACACTCCCAGACATCGGCAGCTCTGCTCGACGTGCGAAACCTCCAGCCGACAATACCGTCCCCTCTCCCCTCTCCCTCGCCCACCGGCGCCGCCGCCGGCCGCGCCACTGCTAGGCTATTACGGCTCGTAGCACGTCGGAGACAGCAGCAGACACACGCACAGCAGCGACGCGCTGGTGTGCGAGGCGTGTCCTCGCTGCCCCTAGAGGACCCTCCCCCGTGCCCTCGGACCTCTCCCTCTCCCTCTCCCTCTCCTCTCTCCCTCTTACTCTACCTCTTACCCTCCCTCCTCTCACTCTCCCTCTCACTCTCCCTCCGCAGGCTCGCGTATGGCGACAGAGCTCGGCGGCCCGGTCGAGAAGCTGTGGGGCATGATCACCAAGAACGGCGACGAGAACTCGCTGCGCGTGTTTTACCAGATGGCGGAGCACCTGCGGCCGCTCATGCAGGATCTCCGCTGTAGTCCCCTCCCCGAGGCTCACAGGGCGACTCGGGAGCACTCACGGCGCCTCTGTTCGCCTGCAAAGAACATCATGCGCAGTCATTATCACATTCAAGCTCACCCCATGGCCGCCGGTCCCCTCGTTCTCCATCTTTTCCCTCCCCCCTCCCCCCCCCCCCCCCCTCGCCTCTCTCCCACCCCGCCTCCCCTCTCCCCTCCTGCGCCCCGCCTCGCAGGCGATCCCCCGCTCCACGCCCATCATCGCGACGCACTGCTTTGTGGGGATGCTCGCCGTCTCCCTCGGCTTCAAGCATGTCATCAACCTCGTGATCGACAACTATGCGCAGTGGTTCATCGTCGTGCCCGGCGCGTACAACCTCGTCCAGGGCCCGTCCAACTACCACAACCTCCTCCGGATGGGAGTCCCGGCCGACCGGTGAGCATGCAATCTCGGGCCATCTCGGCCGATCTCGGCTGATCTCATGGGAGTCCCGGCCGACCGGTGAGAGAGAAAGAGAGAGAGAGAGAGAGAGGTAGGATGAGAGGGAGAGAGAGAGGGAGAAAGAGAGGGTTTGGAATCTCCGACGCCCGGTGGAGACACAGCCCTTTCCAGGAGTCACGTGTCTCCAACGACCGGCGGCCGGTAATGAGGGGAGCATGCACCGGCGCGAGATGCAATCTCGGGCCATCTCGGCCGATCTCGGCTGATCTCGGGGCATCTCGGGGCGTCAGGCTCGTCCTCGCCGGCCACTGGATCCCGAAGGACCTCGTCGACAACATCGAGTTCGACTGCGAGCTCCGTCGCCTAGAAGCGGAATCCGTGTTTGTGTATTCCGGCCAGGACTCGGCACGTATTCCGCCGTATTCGACCGTATTCCGCGGTCTTCACTGTGTTCGCACCCCTCGCATTCACGCGGTGCTCTGAATACTCTGCACAACACCGCATTCCCGCCCCGATGTTGGCATATTCTCCCCGTAGGCTTCGGAAGCAGCGCGCGCGCGCGCGCCAGCCGCGCCGCATCCTCATCCCCGTCGGCGGCGCGGGCGCGCAAAAGACTTTCGTGAGCCAGTTCATCCAGGCGCTCGGCTCGCACGTGGCCGAGGGCAAGGTGCAGCTCATGCTGAACGCGGGCGACCACGAGCACATGCGCGTCGCCTTCGCCGAGGCGCTCGCGGCCATCGGCGTCTCGGACTACGCCGTCGTCGACAGCATGGAGGGCGTGCACGAGTACGCGGAGCGCTTGCGGTCGGGAGTCGAGCCGACGCACGCGGTGACCCTCTTCGCCTTCAAGCAGTACTTCCCCGCCGTGGCGACGGCCGGCTGGCTGGCCCGCAGTCGGCCCGACGGGAGTGGCGCGAGCGTGGCCGTTGCGTGTGCGTCTAGGCGACAACCGACGTCCTCTCCCGCGTCGCCGACGTGCTCGCGTGCAAGCCGTCCGAGCTTGCTTTCTACCCGGTGCCCAAGCTGATGATCCGGCGCGTCGGGGACCATGAGGCGTACTCGGCGCTGCGCGCGTCGGAGCTCGGCGAGCGCCCACTCGAGGTGGGGCGCGCGGGGAAGAGAGCAGCGCCTCTGTTCATCGCTCTCGAAATGAGCAGGCGATGGAACGCTCGAGCTGCGCGAGGTGGAGGACGCGATGGCGTACATCGCACAGATGGACGCCGGCCCAGACTTGCTCCTCACCATGAACAAGTGCAGCCCCCCTCCCTGCCCCTCGCCTCCCGCGTCCCCTCCTGCCCCCATCTCCGGTCTCGGCGGCGCGCACAACGTTCGCCACCCTGTCCCCGACGCGCCCCCGCGCCCCTGCGACAAGGTGCATCGTCTCCAACAAGAAGTCCGGCTTCTATGACGGCTGCAAGAACGCCGTCGCACTCGCGACCGAGCTCGCCGCCAGCTCGGAGAAGAGCCTGCCCTTCCTCGCCAACTGAGGTGCACTCGACGCGTCACGCGTGCGGAGGGGGGCGCGGGGGCGCGGAGAGCAGAGGGCCCTCTGGGCGCCACGGCCAGCCGCGGGCAGCGGAGGGCCGTGGCGAGCTCGGGGGGTCTCGCGGGCGCTCTTCATGTCTCCACACATGCACATGGCCCACATGCACATGCAGTCGCAGCAACGCGCCGTTGAGCGGTTGTCAAGACAAGCGAAAAATAGCCATATACAAGGAGTCTGAAAGCGCAAAGCGGGGGGGGGGGGGGGGAGGAGGTAAGGTAAGGTAAGGTAAACTTCTCCACACACACGAGGTGGTGGGGCAAGGGGGGGCAACCCTCGCGTCTCCACGTCTAACGACAGAGGAGCCCCACGCGCCACGGCATTTAAAGTGCAAGGCCCGGTGCGCGTGGGTGAGCGGTGTGTGTGTGTGTGTGTGTGTGTGTGTGTGTGTGTGTGTGTGTGTGTGTGTGTGTGTGTGTGTGTGTGTGTGTGTGTGTGTGTGTGTGTGTGTGTGTGTGTGTGTGTGTGTGTGTGTGTGTGTGTGTGTGTGTGTGTCTCACGTCACTGCATCCTCTGCCGGTTCCTCCCGTCGCATCTCGTCGCCTCTTCTTTGTTCGAATGTTTTTCAATCCATCCTTCACGAAGCCCTCCCATGTAGCTAGCGTTCTTTGCGAATGTCTCGAGATGGCCAGCAGGCGCTGTCTGCTCGCGGCCTGTGCGGGCCGCTCGTCCTCCTCGCCCTTCTTTCGTCCTCCCGTCCCTCCCCTCCACCATGGCCTCCTCGGCACTTCTTTCTCCATCCGCCTCGCCCTGCCTTTTCGTATCGTGCCGTTCGCCCTCCATTCGGTGACCTCCATGGCTGTCCGCCTCCTTTTGGGTGGCGCTCTCGATACCGTTGCGTCAACCTCGACGTCGCTGTCGCCCTCCCCGTCCCCGTCCCCGCCGTCGCCCGTGCCTCGGTTCGCGTCATCGGTAGCGTCTCCGTTGCCCCCTCGTGCTCCGCCGTCGCCCTCTCTGCTCGGGCCGTTCGCGATTTCGCTCCTCCTGCGTGTCGCCCCTCCGTCTCCCCTGCCTTCGTCGTCATCGTCGCTGTCGCGAAAGCCCTCCGGTCCCTCGATTCCCTCGTCTATCCCCTCCGCTGCGTCGTCCCAGTTTATATCCTCATCCTCTGTGCGCTTTTTCGTTCCCTCCCCTTCTCCATCGTTGTCGCCTCCGTCGACTGCGGCGCTGTCTCTGCCCTCGCCTCCGTCCTCCTCGTCTCGCCTGCCGTCGTCCCGTGTCTCCTCGTCCTCGCCATCGTCTTGGCCGTTGGGGGGGAGGATATAAAATTATCGAACGTCATCAACTCCTTCACGCCATGCGGCCCATGTGCCTCACGCGCGCACGGGGATGGGCGCTCCCGCGGCCGCGCTCCACGACGAGGCTCGAGGGCGGAGGGGGCCGGGGAGCGGGGTCCCGGGGAGCTTCTCTCAAAAGTTTTCAACAAAAGAAGCGCACCCCCCAAGCGAGCCGGATGTCGGTTTGATGATCGGCAAGCTCTTGGAGTGCGGTAACCTCACATCCACTTGGAGCACTTGGAGTGCGGTCATCAACCGCACGCCCAGGGCCGGGGGAGCTAAGTCCTAAGAAGCGCACCCTCTCCCACCCTCCCTGCACCCAGCGGGCCGGACGATTGGCATGGGATCTTGGAGCACTTGGAGTGCAGTCGTTAACCTCACACCCAGGGCCGGGGAGCTAAGAAGCGCACCCAGCGCGCCGGATGATCGGTATCGGGTCACGGGCTAGAGAGCCCTAAAAAAGAAAGAAAACAGACAACCCAAGGGAGGGATGGGAGGACGGTACGCCGCCACCACACAGGGATTTTAGGGGAGAAGTGTGGTGTTAGCCGTCGCCCACCCTCGGGCGTCTACCACTTCCTATCTCTCTCCGCAGTTTATCACCAATTAGAGAGCCCTAGCCCCGGGGATGCGCGTGGAACCCCGTCTTTTTTTGGGCCCCCGGAGCGACGTGGAGGAGCCCACGCGGCCCTGGAACCTGGGCCTACAACCTCGCAACCCATGGCAGGCAACCACCGCTCGGCCACTGACCTTCCACTATCCACGGCCCGACACCCTCACTGGCGCCAATGACGAGAGCATTGACTCTCTTTCCGATTCGATAGCCCCGCTCTCAGTGGGGAATAAACCTCCAATTGACCCGAGGCTGCCAGTTGCGATCGCACCCTCCGCGGCGATGAGGAAGAAAAACAACTCGTTAGATAGGGACAGATGACGCGCTTGCGGATGATTCTTACCTTGTTTGGCTGTGGTTCTGAGCCGTTTGCCCCACCCTATCAGCCCTGTGCAACACGCAGACCGCTTATTAGTCCAAAGTCGTTCTGAGCCGTTGCCCTCGCTGCCCCAGGCGTCTGAAGAGATCGGCAGGCGGACCGGGCGTCTCGTTCCCCCCTCCTCAGTGCGGCCAACTAGTTCACCACCTTCCTCCCCCACCAACGCCCGGCGCGGCTAGGTGCGCATGCCACATCACAAAGCCAGCCGTCTCCCATCCATGGTGCAATGAGGGAGGGTAACACCTCAAACAGACTAGAATCTCGTACTCACTCGCCTGCCCGTGCGCGGCGTGGCTGCCGAGACTCGCGTTGCAACCGAGCACCACCAACACACAGTGCCCCGAATCGCTCCCCCCCCCCCCCCCCCGCACGGCTGTTTTGCCCTCCCTGTCCCGCCCAGCCCACCTCGCTCTGCCTTAGGCCCGGAAGAGCTGTCCAATAACCGCCTGCACTCACGCCGAGGGTCACTCGGAAGAGCAGAGAGGCGGCGGCGCGCGTCAACCAGTCGAGCGCCGTTTGCGAAGGCGAGGCATACGAGGAGGTTTCCACGACGACCAGGTCGAGTTTCTCTCCTTTGACAGCAATGAGGTGCGTAGGCGCCTCTAGGCTCCGTTGGGACGTGGTGTAAGAATGTCTGAGGGCTGATGTGTGTGATCTCTGAACTCATGAGACAACACAAGGGGGTTGGGGCTTGGGCCCCCTAGTCTGAAAACAAAAACAAACTCGAAAACAGCCAAAATCAGCCTGCGAGAGAGGCACTGCGCGCCGCTGACCTCATGTGGGGATGTGTGCCGACACCACACCCAATACCTTCTCCCAGTGGGGCGGGCCTGCGCCTGGGGCTGGGCCCCCGGACCCCCTGCCGCTCTTGTGTTCTGTTTTCTGTTTTTCTGTTTTTCAAAACGCCCGCCCGCCCGCGTCATTCCCGGAGGCGGCTCGGCCCCCCACTGTGCACTGACCGAGAGATTAAAAACGCTCGGCTCAAGAGTCTTCTCGCGGTTATTTTTGTGTTCTCTGCATTTCACTTTTCAGATTTCACTGGTGTACTACATATACACGTACGATGTGGACTTAACTCGCGCCGCCCCCGGCGCTTTCGCGCTACCGCCCGCTACAGGGGCCGTAAAGGATATAGGGCATGGTAGGGGTAGGCTCTATACCGCCGTGGCTCTACACCTCATACGCCCGCACTACGGAGGCGCTAGCCGCTAGCGCGCTACTGACGCAGGCCTACTCGCTACAGAGTATATGGCACCGCCGGCGAGGAGTGGACCTTTGCGAGCTACGTGCAGCTGGCCGGCACCATCGTCCTCCTTTTCGGCACGGCGGTGTACAACGGCTCGGTCCCTTTGCCAGGCCTGGGAGACCCAGTCCCGCTCAAAGAGACGCTGCTTCCCTCGGGAGTCGCCAAATCCTCCGCCGCGTCGCTGCGCCTCTCTGGCGCATTCCAAAACAACTCAGCGCTGCTGCAAAAGACGGCGGCCAAGGAGGCCAAGCGGCTGAGCCAGCGCTGAGCAGTGTCGTGCGTGCGCGCGAGCCTCGCGGCACGCTCCCTCCACTACCCCCCCCCCCCCCCTTCCCCTCGCCTTCCTTCCCCCCTACCACTCTCGTACCACTCTTTGTGTGCTAGTAGTCACTGATTGGTTGCGGGGCTGGAAGCCCTCGCCTTGCGTGCGCGCGACGGCGGACGGCGGACGGCGCGTGCGAGAACCGTGCGTGTGCTCATGCTGCTTTTTGGCATGCGTCCGTCCCTACCGGTTGTAATGGCTCCGGACTAATTGACAATTCTTCACCGCCGCTCGAGCACCCGCCGTCGCGCCCCGTGACGTCTCCGTACTCCGAGACACCGAGTCGAGAACGTACAGAGCGGGAGAGTCGAGAGAGCATCCACAGCGGTGCAGCCTCCGGCCAGACATAGAAAGAACAAGAGGAGGAGAGGGACGGAGGCCTGAGCCCTGGTCTGACAGCCTGACAGCAAACCCCGGGCAGCGCCTGACAGTGCCCGACAGCCTGACAGCGTTGACAGCACTTTCTCTGACAGTCTGACAGCACGTCTCTGACAGCCTGACAGCAGAGCCTGACATCAGAGGCGTCCCGTCGCTGTCAGGCCCTAACGTGACAGCCTGACAGCTGCCCGACAGCCCGACAGCACACAGCGGCCTGACAGCAGCGCTGACAGCCCGACAGCCCGACCAGCCCGACAGCAGCACAGACCGTACTCAGGCCGTGCAGCCTCTTTCTTGTGTCCCAGGAGGGTATAGCAAAACTATTACATGCAAAGACATGTGTATGTGGTCCGCGCCTTCGATTCTGTGGAGTCCGCGCCAACCTCTGTGCACAGACCGGCTTCTTCAAGCAGCCGTGCTTGCACTTTCCTCTGGCTGACACCTATGTCCAGGGTGGCGCGTTGCTGGAGGAGCCGGGAGAGAAGGAGGATGATCCAAACGGCACACCCGATGCTGAGCCGGCCGAGCTGACCGCCATGGGCGCACAGGATGCTGCAGATGCCGAGGCCGTGCTGAACCAGCTGATGCGGACGGGGGCCAACGTGGCGCCTCCAACCGGCGGCGAGGAGGGCAGCAGCGCAGAGTTTTTTGAGGAGATCCGTAAGCTGCTGGCAGATTTCAACGTCTCCATCCAGGAGGAGTCAAAGGATCGCAAGCTCCGCTTCCACGTCAAGCGGCTCATCAAGTCCCATCAGCAGCGAGGCGAGGATGTGGATGAGGAGCTCGACTTCTACATGGATGATGATGACGGTGACCACGCCCTTGCCGCCTGTCACACACACACATAAGACGTGCATTCTCATCTCTCCCTCTTCTCTTTCTCTCCGCAGTTGCGGTGCTCTTCACCATGGAGGACAGCTCCAAGGTCTTTGCCATTGGCAACATCGAGCAGGTGGCCGTCGCAGATGGCACGGTAGACGCGCGCCGCGCCACTGGCAGCTCGAGCGCAGAGTACCTGCGCCAGCTCTCGATGAGTCAGCGCAGCAACGGGGTCTTCATCAACGACCCCAAGGGCCTCTTTATCCTCCGGTGGTACCGTGAGGTGAAGGGTGACGGGACCCCCCCAGACGGCCCGCGCTACCAGAACAAAGCGTGCAAGTACTACAAGCTGACGAGCGACAACGATGGGGAGGCCTTCCGCTGGACCAGCAACTACCAGATCATCAGCAAGGTGTACCTGAAGAAGCACTCCCCCCTGCCTCTCTGCTATTCTCTCAGTGCGGCAGACAAGAAGATGGTGACTTCCACCATGAAGAAGATGGTGGGACCGGAGGCAGAGTAGAGACTAGAGTATGTGCAGCAGAGTCCTGCTGGTCTCCTCTTGATAATGTCATAAGTGTGGCTGGTGTGTGTCAGAGCCTGACAGCACCCCGACAGCACCACCTGACAGCACCTGACAGCAACAGCCCAACGTCTGACAGCAGCAGCAGCCTGACAGCTCTGACAGCTCCGACAGCGTCTGACAGCAACACACCCGACAGCTCCGACAGCACCCGACAGCTACAGATCCCCTCTGATGTCAGACACGCACCCGACAGCACCCGACAGCACTGACAGCACCCGACAGCTGGTCTGACAGAGGCACCTGACAGTGCCTGACAGCTGCCCGACAGCCCGACAGATCACCTGACAGCACCTGACAGCCTGACAGCCAGGGCTCAGACGGAGGCGAGAACTGCTGCGCGCCAGTCCCCCGCGTAAAGAACGAAAGAAAGAAAAAAGACCGCCGCTGTGTTATGTGTATACTACCGGGGTCGGTTATGATGCTCATCCCACAAGCCACATCCGTCGCGGCGCGACGCGCACACGGTTTTGGTTACAATGAGGCTAACACGGCGCCGCGCGCGTTCTGGCTAGTGCCATTTCACTCTGACACGCTAATCTTGAAAACGTCTCCAACGGAGCTCCGTGTTGCTTCCAGCGCCCTCCCCCGCGCTTCCTGCGGCCATGGCCGATGATACTAGTATGATAGGTCATCTGGCTACCGCGAGAGCGACCCAACTCGTCGACATCGTCCGATGATGGTGCCGCAAAGTCAGCCCTCGGAGGCTATCGTGGGGTCGAGCCGGCAGTAGCCGTGACATGTGGTTCCACCACCCCTCGTAGGCTTTGCCTCTGACCGCCACCGTTCCCAGGCTGCCTAATGGGATGGAAAGGAAGGCTCGGCGAGCGTAGAGAAGCGTGCTCGACCTCGTCGTGGCAGCCTGCATGGCAGCGCTGGCGGGCGCGATGAGCGTCGTGCCACCTGACCCGAGACGGGTCGCAGGCGTCGTACCTTGCGCGTCGAGACCGTGTCCTGATGTGATCTGCACGGGAGAGTCACGTCGGCGTCAAAGGAGCGACGTGCGACCTGTCAGAGCTTGATCTCCGATCTCAGCGGCGTCGACGTCGTCTCCGGCGCGCGACAAATGTACCTCCCCAGGACGCGCAGAGGCAGCTGCGATCCCGCTGAGTGGACGGCGGCACACCGCGCCACCTGCTGTGTGCCGCCGTCTACTCGGCAGGGTCGCAGCTGCCTCTGCGTGGACATCGCTTGGAAAAGAAAAACTACTGGGGGCGGGGAGAGCCCAGACGAAAAGAATTCTCAACTCGCCGCCGCCCCACTGCTGTTCCGAGCTACTGAGCAGTCCGCAGAGCCCGAGCGCCAGATGCCAAAGCGCGACCGCCAGCCCGAGCACTGGGGCTCGCTCGTCCCGCACAACTCCATGCACGGCCGCCGTCCCGTGCCGCTCTCCCGCTCGACAGTCGTCATTGGCAAAGGAGGCGACGTGCGAGCGCCGTCCAACCCGCATCTTTCGAGGCACCACATCCGGCTCGAGCGAGAGGGCGACGGCAGCGTGTACGCGACGCACCTCTCCGCGCTGAATTCGACATGGCTAAACGGCAAACGCCTCGAGCACGACCGGCGGACGCTCGTCGAGCCGTGCGCTGGCAACGCGCCGTACAGCCTCAGAGGCGAGGCGCCCGACGCACCGCTCCTCTTTGTGAGCGTGCCGAACGCAGCCAGTGCACGCGCGGCCTGCGAGGAGGGGAAGCTCAACGGCTGGTGCGGCTGGTCGTTGCGCCTCGAGCGAGCGGGCGACTGCGTTGCCGCTCCTGTTGGAGCCTCCGCGCCTTCCGCAGAGCCGCAGCGAGGCGGAGCGCTTGTGCTCTCGTCCAGGGGCGGCGGCGACGCGGCGGCGGCTGAGACGGAGAAGCCCGCTGCGTCTGCGCAGTCATGGGCGGTGGCGGCGGCAGCGGCGGCAGACGCGACGGCGACGGCGAAGGCGGAGGCGGCAGAGGCGGCGGCGGCGGACGCGGCGGCGAAGGTGATAGTGGAGGCTGAGGTGGAGGCGGCAGAGGCGGAGGCGGCGGCAGAGCCGGAGCCAGAGTGGGGCTCGGAGGAGCGGCGCGCGAAAGAGACCATCTTCCGCGGCGTGCGGCTGCTGCTGGCGGCGCGGCTCGGCGACACGCTGCGCGAGCTGCAGGAGGAGGTGGTGCGGCGCGGCGGCGGAGAGGTCGTAAGCGACGTGCGCGAGGCGACGCACTTGGCGCTCGAGTCGAACCGCCGCCCCTCCGAGCTGGCGTGCCTGGCCGCGCTGCCGGAGGCCGAGTGGCCGCGCCTCGTGACGAAAGACTGGGTCGGGCAGTGCTCCAAGGTCCTCTCCGCCGACGGGTCGCGGACCGACGTGCTGCGCAAGCACTTGCACCCCAGCGCGGTGACGGTTGCCCGAAAGGATGTCTGCTTCAGTTCTCGACGATGACGCGACGCGTCCACGGCACGTCCGTAGGTGGCTGCGGCGCGCGAGCCCGCCTCGCCCGAGGCGTCTGTGGGACCCGAGCCAGGTGGGGCGAGGCCGACGCGCTCGAGTTGCAATCTTTGCCAATGGGTCGGAGGCGGTGGAGGGCCGGCGGGGGCGCAGGGTCTCGCAGGGCCGAGTGCGCTGAGCGAACCGCCCGCGTCCGACGCCTTCTTTGTCCGCGACCCGCCGTCGCCGCCGCTGGAGTTCAAGCGTGCTAAGGAGAAGGCGAGGGGCGACAAGAAGGCGGGGACGTCGGCGAAGAGCTCGCATAGTCGGGCATGGGGCGACAGCCGCGAGAGGAACGCGCTCAGGCACCACTGCGCGCTGGCGGAGCCGTACAAGAAGGCGGAGGACGACGAGCGGCTGAGCGAGGAGGTTTGGATCGCGACGGAGAAGTTCGATGGCGTGCGCATGGTCTCGGACCCGCCGCACGGATGCACGACTCGAAGCGGCAAGAACCACTTCTGGCCGCCGCCCTCCTTCCTCGCGCTGCTGCCGCAGGCGCGGCTTCACGGCGCGCACTGATGTCAGGAAGCGTCGGTCCAGCTCGGCTGATGTTTGCGCGTAGGACATGAAGCTCGACGGCGAGCTGTGGGCAGGCAGGTGCCGGTTCGCTGCGGTCGGGTCGCTGATGGGCTCGTCATCCCTCGAGGGCGGCCGCTGGTACGAGACCGCGTGGCGCAGCCTGACCTTCGTCGTCTTCGATGCGCCACATGCCGGTGGCACCTACCTGCAGCGGCTGGAGAAGGCGCGCGCCCGGATCGCCGCTATGGGGCCGCCGGACGGGTGCGTTGCAGGCCCGCCGATTCATCTACCCTTTCCGCCGCCGCCCCCACCGCCGCCGCCGCACCTGCAGGCGCATTGTCGTTGCGTCGGTGATGGAGGTGGCGGACGCGGCGGCCAAGGACGCGCTGCTGCAGCGCGTGGTTGCCCGCGGCGGCGAGGGGCTCGTGCTGCGGCGCAATGAGGCCAGGTGGCGTGCGGGGACCAGCAAAGGCGAGCACCGGCCGGCTAACCCCTCGCTCTCCCCCTGCCCCTCTCCTCCTCTCTCTCCCTCTCCTCCTCTCTCTCCCTCTCCTCCTCTCTCTCCCTCTCGCCCTCTCCTCCTCGTGTATCCACCCCCCCTCCCCCCCCCACCCCCCCGCTTTCGCAGACCGCAACGTGCTCAAGGTAAAGCAGTGGCTCGACGCCGAGGCTGTGGTCGTGGGCCACAAGAATGCGCCCTCCACCGCCAACCTGCCGACCGTGAAGGTGCAGGCGATCAACGCGCCGAACGCCGACCCGTCCACCACGTTCGATCTGTCGGTCAGCCGCGAGGAACAGCCACACTTCCCACACTTCCCGTTGGGCACTATTGTCACATTCCGGTACAGACAGATCTCTGATCTGAGTGGAGTGCCACAGACCGCCGGAGGGGCACCTCAGATTGTTCGAATCCATGATCCCCTGACCTGCGATTGCTGTTTTTGCCGTCCTGACGATGACAGCTGACTGACATATAGACGCGGCTTTATCAGCTGCGTCTCGTGTAGTCGCGTACTCGACAGTCAGTTGATGTGTCGTTTTAGCCTTTCGTCTATGCTGCCTTTTGTTAGTCGATAGTCGTACCATGAATAATCAAAAGAGCCTCTTCCCTTCGGACAAGTAAGAGCCAAGGGCAAGGGAGGCGCGCAAGACGCTCGAGCCAAACCCCTCACAAGTCATGATCTCACATCCTCTCGCCCCCTCCACAGCGCTCGCAGCGGCCGCGGCCTCCTCTACACCGCCGCCGCCGCGGCGCCACCACCGCTGCCGCGCCCACCCTCGGGCTCGCCCCGCCGTGACGCCGAACCGAATCCTCTCCTCGTTGAGCTCCGCGGAGCATCCCCTCCTTGTGCAACTGCGCTGGCTTCTCACTGCCCCGGCGCCCACGCCTCGACCTTCTTGGGCAGCAGCTGGTTCGACAGGTCCTCTCCGTGGCCTAGGCCGCCGTGGCGGCCCTCGCCCCAGGTGACAACAGCGCCGTCAGCGGTGATGGCGAGGCTATACTGCCACCCAGCCGCTACGGCGACGAAGCGCTGCCCCGCCAAGGCCTCGATCTTCTTCGGCAGCAGCTTGTTCTGCCCGTCGCCGTGGCCCAGCTGGCCAAAGCCTCCCCCACCCCAGCTCCAGAGAGCGCCGTCAGCGGTGAGGGCGAGGCTGTGGCCGCTTCCAGCCGACACGGCGATGACACGCTGGCCGGCAAAGGCCTCGACCTTCGTGGGCAGCAGCTGGATCTGCTCGTCGCCGTGGCCCAGCTTGCCATTGCCTCCCCAGCCCCAGCTCCAGACGGCTCCGTCGGCGGTGAGGGCGAGGCTGTGGCCGCTTCCCGACACGGCGACGACACGCCGACCAGCCAAGGCCTCGACCTTCTTCGGCAGCAGCTGGTCCTGCGTGTCGCCGTGGCCCAACCGGCCTTGCCCTCCAACGCCCCAGCTCCACACGGCGCCGTCGGCGGTGAGGGCGAGGCTGTGGAAGCCTCCAGCCGACACAGCGACGACGCGCTGGTCGGCGAAGGCCTCGACCTTCGTGGGCAGCAACTGGATCTGCTGGTCGCCGTGGCCGAGCTTGCCATAGTAGCCATCGCCCCAGCTCCAGACAGCTCCGTCGGCGGTGAGCGCGAGGCTGTGCTCGAGTCCAGCCGAGACAGCGACGACGCGCCGCCCAGCCAAGGCCTCGATCTTCTTCGGCAGCAGCTGGCTCTGCGTGTCGCCGTGGCCCAAGCGGCCGTAGCCTCCATAGCCCCAGCTCCAGACGGCGCCGCTGCTGGTGAGGGCGAGGCTGTGGTACTGCGTTGCTGACACGCTCACGGCGCGCTCTCCTCCCAGCGGGGAGGGGAGGCGGGTCGGCGTGTTAAGCCGCGTCACGCCCTCGCCGTGGCCGAGGAGGCTGGGACGTGATCCGGCGGGCAGCCGCACGACGAGAGCCGCCCCTCGCCGTCGATGAAGAGGCTGTGCTGACGGCCTGCCGCCGCCCTCGCCGGCGGGTTGGACTCGCACAGCAACGCCGAATAGCACAGCCACCGCACGGCGCAGCTCTCGCCCTCTGGCAGCGCCGGCAGCTCGAAGCCGCGCTCTTGCGCCCACAAGCGGATGCCCTCCAGCGCAAGCGAGGCGTGGAAGAGGCGCGAGACGGCCGCGACGCGAGCGATGTCGGCGGGGTCGCAGCGAGAGAGGGCGCGCACGAGGAGCTCCGTGGGGAGGTCGAGGAGACGGGCGGGCGGCGGCGTGCTTGGCGAGGGGGCGGCGGTGGCGGCGGAGGCGAGGCGGCTCGAGCGGCGGCGCGGCGGGGGTGGACATCGCGAGGAAAAGAAAAATGCCGGATTATAAGTGCTCCAGGACGAGCTCCAGCGAAAGCTCGGCCTTTGGCTCTCCGCGGCGCTTCCCACCCTTCGGGTCGCGCTCGAGCGGGGCATGCCAGTCGATTTCTTCGGCGACTACCTTTACAACAAGGCCCACCACCGGCGGCCCCACGACGGCGTCCTCGCCGCCTGGGCGGACGCGATGCGCGCCCCGGCCAACGCGCCGGTCGTGCACGGCGACAAGGAGAAACCAGAGCTCACCCGGCAGTACAACGAGGGGTACAAGACTGACCTCGCAGAACCCCATGCGGGACCAGGAGGGTGCGATGACGTGAATGAAATCAAGCTCTGGACGCCCCTCCTCAAAGACCTCCTCGCCGGGCGTTGGCAACGCCTCGAGTGGCGGCACGCCCGCCTCCGTTGGCCACTCCTACGCCTTTGGTAACACCGAAGAGAAGGCCCGCCGCCTAAACATGGGCTGCAAGGCGCGCGGGCAGCCCGGCCAACCCTTCTCCCACAAGACCGGCCACGGCTACGTCAAGGCGCATCGCGGTTTCTACCACGACGCGATCTTTGTCAAGCGCAACAACTTCAACCTGCTGCTCCACGAGACGTTCGGCGGCGGCTTCTCGCCCACCGCCGTTCTCAAACTGCGCCGCCTCGCGCGCAAAGTCGCGCGCGGCAGCGTCGACCGCACGGCCTACTCGCCCAAGTACTCGCTCTCTTTTATGTCCCACCATGCAGAGCGCATCTCTCTCTCTGTTGTGCGAGGCGTGAACCGCGCCATTCGCTCTCACCTGGCAACCCTGTCTGCACGTCTCGCGCGCGCGTGAACAGGGCTCCAGGCCCCAAATGACGTGTGAGTGTTAGATTTGTTTTTTTGTGATTTGTTTGTGTTTTGATTTGTTTGGTATTGCTAAAAATTTCTCTCAAAATTCTTCCTTTCCGGCGTCCCGGCTTTCGCTTTATCGACCCTTTTTCTTCTCTCCTTCCATTTTATGATATATGAAAGAAAGAATCAGTAACCAGCCTCCGGCGGGGCCCCCCGCTACCATCCAAACCCGAGTACAAAGCGCGCCTCCTGCGCGCCTCTCCGACGCTGCGCAGATGGTCTACGAATCATAGAGGCTCAAGTGACAAGTCCACACACACACACGCCGCACGCCGGGGACACCGCGGTCACCCGCGGGTGCCATCTCGCATCTGCCATACACAAAGCATTACTCTCACGACACACGGGGATCGGGTGGAGCGGCGGCGGCGGCGGCAGTGGCACGCGCGGGCGGACGGACTCGGACGGGGCGGAGCAGCGACCGCCTGGGCGGCCGCTGCTCTGTCTGCCTGAGCGCGCCGTCTGTGCGCAGCTCGAGCGCGGTCAGGTGCACAGGGAAGCGTGGCGGCGCGGGGAAACGCGGCGGCGGTGGCGGCGGCGGCGGCGGCAGCGGCTCGCGCGGGCGGACGGATTCGGACGGGGCGGAGCAGCGACCGCCTGGGCGGCCGCTGCTCTGTCTGCCTGAGCGCGCCGTCTGTGCGCAGCTCGAGCGCGGTCAGGTGCACAGGGAAGCGTGGCGGCGCGGGGAAACGCGGCGGCGGTGGCGAGCAGGCGAGCGGCCCGCGCGCGATGAGGCGGACAGGTGATCGGCAGGCGGGTGATGGGCCGCAGAGTGACCGCGCCCAGCGATCGGAGGCGAGCCGATCGTCGCTCGGCCGCTGCTGACCTCGAAGGCGTGCGGAGCGCGACTGTCGGTGTCGGGGGGCGGCCGTCATGTGGCGAGGAGGGAGGACGACAAGTGCGCGTCGTACGGGTCGCTCTTCATCGGCCAGTCGAGCGGCACTCAAGTCGAGACCGAGCATGGGCGACGAAAAGCCCCCGGTGGGGCCGGTGGAGGTACTCGTAGGACGAGATTCGTTTCGCGCTTTCAAAAGCGGCTTCGCGCGCAGCGCAACTTTGGGTTTGCCACGAAAAGCTTATCCGGCTGGAAAGGGGGCTACTGGGGCGGCCAATTCACACCTCGCGGGACTACTTATGTTTTCGTAAACGTAGTCGTGGCCCCCCGCTACGTCGCACGAGTGCAACTGGGTAGCGGGGGGCTAAGAAAGAAAACAGACAGCAGGGAGGGATGGGAGGACGGCGGCACGCCGCCACCACACAGGGATTTTAAGGAGAGGGGTGTGATGCGCTAGCCGTCGCCCACCCTAGGGAGTCTGCCTCTTCCTATCTCTTCCATTTTAAGAAAGAAAGAAAGAAAACAGACAACCCAAGGGAGGGATGGGAGGACGGCGCGCCGCCACCACACAGGGATTTTAAGGAGAGGTGTGTGGTGCGCTAGCCGTCGCCCACCCTAGGGAGTCTGCCTCTTCCTATCTCTCTTCGCAGTCTCTCGCCGATTCTCGCTGCAATCTTCATGCCACCTCGCGGTCGTCCCACTCTCGTCGTTCTCTCCCTTGTCATTTCCTCCTCTGTCGCGTCGTTCTCTTCTGCCTCGTCCTGTGACGCCGCCGCCTGCCGGTCCCTTGTTCTCGCGGCTTCTTTCGCCTTTCGGCGCAACTCCGTCCTCCTCGCGGCGTATCCTGGCCCCTCGAGTCTATCGAGCTCCCCTCGCGCAAGGACCACATTTCTGACTCCCACTCCGATCATTTGCCTCCAAGTCATGTTGTTGCTCAGGTCCACTCTCTCTTCGAACACTCGTGCCTCTACGGATGATGCCGGCGCTGGGGTCCCCTTCGGATGCATCGTGACATCTGACAACTGGATTTCCACTGGTTCGTCCTCCTCGGAGTCATCTTCCCCGTCCTCCTTCCGCTCGGCTCTCCGCTCGGTACGTTCGGCGTGGCTCACCCTCCATGCCGTGAACAGGCGCTTTATCCACCCTATATTCTTCTCTCGTTCCTCTGCCCGTGCCCTGGTCTTGTCGTTGTTTCGCACCCATGTCTGTATGGCAGTCGAGGCTGCCTTCCCCACTACCTGTAGTTCACTCGTCACCTCTCCCGCGAGCTCCCTTCTCTTTCTTTCGGGTATGGAGTCCGTGAGTGCGGGTAGCGTGCAGGCAATCACGGGCGCTATTTTGTCGTACTCCTCTTCGGCGAGCGCTCCAAATCTAGACCCTTTCGCCTTTAAGGAGGCTGCCCTCGCTCGTCTCAGGAATGTGGCGGTGTCTTTTGGGTCCGGCGCCTCCCGTTCAACTCTTGCTGTCGCCCTCGCTGTGTGTTTGTCGAGCTTCCGCATGAAGTGACGCGCCTCTTCCTTATTTCCAGCGCAGCTGCCGCTCAGTATGTGCGCCAACGACGCCTGTGGTGGCTCACTGTCTTCTTGTTTCCAGTCGTCCCAGTCTTTCAGTTCCCCGCGTCTCCTCCTTGCCTCGCGCGCCTCTTTTGTGGCCTCATCCCTAGCCGCTTTGCACGCTCTGCATCCCCAGAACGCACTTCTCGTGGCGGGGCCCCTCATTCCCCGTTTCTTTTCCCCCTCTAGATTACGCATCTCTTCCATTTTATGGCAATCGAGGACGCCGAGCAAATTCTTCCTTTCCGGCCCCGCGCATGCAGGGCTTCCCGTTGCGGACTCCAGCTCCAGCGAGGCGGGATCAGCAGGGCTTGCCCCTTTCGCGCCAGGCCAGTGGCTCGCTCCTGTTCCCAGGTGGGTCCGGAAACTGCTGGAACACAGGATCAGTTGAACGAAAAATCATTCACCGTTAGCGCCTCCCCTGCACGTGTAGGATCAACCCCGGGAGCGCACGCATCGCCCACGAGCTGCTTCAAATCGCCCGCCCCCTTCTCCACGGCGGCCGCCTCGGGCGCCGCCTCGCGCTCTGCCTTTGAGCGCTCAGCCGCTCGCACGCCCGGTGAATTCTCACCGCAATACGTGCCGAGCGGTGCCTTTGCGGGCGGTGCCTCCGAGACAGTGCGCGGCCAGCTCGACGCGCCTCCTCTCCAATCGCTCCACGACCTCGCTCCGGGAAGCGGCGACGTGTCTGCTGCCACCTCGCAACCGGCCCCTTCCCTCGCTCCGTCTTCCCTCGCTCCGTCTCAGCCGGCGTCGAGCGAGGGGGGGCACTGGGTGACCATCTTTGGCTACCACTCGGTCGCGATGGTCCCCCAGGTGCTTGCCCTGCTCCGTCCCTCTGGCGGGCAGGTTGTCCAGCAGGCCACGCTCTCTAGTGACACCCGCGAACTACTTGCAAGACAGCACGCTGTGTGTGCCCTTCAGCCCCCTCAACCCCCCCCCCCCGCCCCCTGCGCGCGCGCACAACAGGTACCCGGCTCGGGGGCGTGGCTGCACCTGCGACTGGCGACGTGGCAACAGCAGCAAGAGGTCCTCGCCCGCCACGGCGCCGTCCTCCACGGCTGTATGATTGGCGTCATCGCTGGCGTCGTCCCTTCGGGGTCGATGGGTGCCTCGGCCGCCGCGGCGGGCCCTTTCCAGCCCGCGGCAGCGGCGGCGATGCCGATCTCGCTCTCGCGGCCCCGCCCGCCCGGCGGCATGCACGGCGCGCTCGATGAGCCACCGGGGCTGTTGCTGCGCATGTCCGAGTACTTCCTCGGCTGGTAGAGTTTGGATTGCCTCCGACTCCACCGACCAAGGCTACCTCGCGAGGGCATGCCACTATGGACGCTACCGACACTCTCCGCACGCGGAGCCCTGCCAGTACCTCACACCTCCGCCACGCTCCGAGAACTTGCCAATCAAAACGGTCAAACTCTCTGCATATATGCGAGACGAGATGTGGGGGATAGTTTGGACGCCGCGGGGGCCACTTCCGCTGTCCGGACTCACACTTGAGATATGAAGCAGTCGACACTATCAAAATACGTCAAAAATGGGGCCCGGATAAGGTTGAGCTCGCATACTCCGTAGAGATACGTGCGGTCAACTGGCGTGGGCCATGCGGTCAAAAAATACAGTAAACACAGCTCTCTCCACAGAGAGCGCGCCGCCCCCCCCCCCCCGTCTCCCGCTCCTCGCCGTCTCTAGAGCGCGCGTCATTGCGCCTCGGACGCCTCTGCCGCCTTGGCTTTGCGCCGTTCCTTGACGTCCCAGTTGAAGACGCGCGCCATGTTCACCTCGGTGGTCGTGATCTGGTCCCGCAGCAGCGCCTGGTCCTCGTGCAGCTCCTGCGGGCGCGTGAGCGATGGCACATCAGAAGCCAGGGAGAGGAGGCCGCCGCGCTCCACCCCTCCGCCCCTGCCCCCTCCCCTGTCTCCCTCCCCGCCCTCCTGCAGCGTCTTCTTGGCCTCTGCCAGGTTCCGCTCGAGCAGCTCGATCGCCTGCGCCGCGCACGCCGGCGGTGTGAAGAGACCCACAGGCACACGTGGTTGGCACTGGCGCACCAACGCGTGAGGCACGGGTGGTGGTGGTGGTGTGTGTGTGTGTGGGGGGGGGGGGGGGGTGGATGCCTGTGTAGAGTTGTGACCGTGTGAGTGCCTGTGTGCCCACGTCGTGAACTGTGCCCACGTCGTCCTAGTGATCTCGTGAACTGTGCCCCGTCGTCCTAGTGATCGCGCCCACGCCGCCGCGACAAGAGAGGGAAGGGGGGGGGGGGGAGGGAGGGGTCGCTAGACAGGGCGGCGGCGGTGAGGAGGCGCGTCGCCTCCTCTCGCCCATACTCGAGCATCACGTTGGCCCCCAGCCAGAGGCAGACCTGTCGCCCAGAGTTGCAGGTCAGTCGCCTTTCTTACTTGGTTGCGAGGCAAGGTGCTCCACAGGGCGAACCGTGTTCTCCCTGTGTACCGGGACGATGGCCTTGGCGTAGACACACTGCGCAAGCTCGTAGTGCACTGTGAGGGACTCACCTTGCTCGGCCTGAGACGGCACACGCGCCGGAAAGCTCGTCAAAACGTACGCCGTCAGGTGTTTCCTGGCGGGTTGAGTCCGGGCTCACAACGGGGAGACATGTACGCCTCGGCTGCGACAGCAGAGTCTTCCGTTCTCTCCCTCTATCGAGCCGCGGAGCCACGACGGCCTGGCTAGGCGGGCGGCGCACACCCGCTGCTGCATCTGGAGCAGAGCGTTGTACGTCGACTCAATGTCGGGCACCTTCGCCTGCAGCCGCTTCTTGCGCTGGGACATCCGCTGCTCGATCGCCTTGCAGGCGGAGTAGAAGGCCTGCAGCTTCTCCAGCGCCGCCTCGGCCGAGCCCTCCTTTACCTGCGCGAGTCAAAGGGATTGGCGGCGTGCGGTTTCGCGGTGCGCAGAGTGGGCCGTGGCTCCGCGGCACCATGTACTTATCGATGTCATCGATGAAGGTGGCCACCGGGATTTGCTCGGTGCTCGCGCTCATGTCGGCCACTCTTGTGTCGCGTGCGTGCACCAACTATCTAGATAGCGGGGCGAGCGGGTGCTCGAGGGCGTTGGCCAGAGCGGAAGAACAAGAATTCTTCCGACGCACCCGCGCACTGCCACTGGCACTAACACAGGTACACCAGAGAAGAAGAAATAACTTTCCGTCAAGGAGAGAGCGTTGCAGCGCGGCGCAACAAGAAGAAAAGCCACGGGGGCGCACCGTCAAGACATGCGCTTTTGGTTAGGCTGAACACAACAACAACCAGGCCCCAAATTACGTGACAACACTCTCTAATTACGTGTGAGTGTTAGAGTTGTTTGGTATTGCTAAAAATCTCTCTCTCTGAACAAGCTTTTCCTCTCGCACCCCGTCTCTTTTCCTTTCCTTTTTTCTCTACAGCACCCTCTCTTTTAGCCCCCCGCTACCCAGTCGCAGTCGTGCGACGTAGCGGGGGGCCACGACTACGTTTACGAAAACATAAGTTGTTGCGCGAGGTGTGAATTGTTCCGCCCCCAGAAGCCCCATTTCGCCTCGAGTCGCAGCAAATCTTTTGACGATGCACGCGCCCCAAAAGCGGCGGCAAAGGGCGGGTGACCGCAGTGCGTTCGCCGTTGCCTCTGAGGAATGGCCGAGGCCGGCGCGAAGGCTGCAGTCGCTGCGCTCAAGGACGCGACCCTGATCAAGTCCAAGAAGGCCGACTGGCGGCTCGTCGCCGCGGCGCAGGCCATGCTCCGCGGCGATCACCCAGATGAGTTCGCCGCGGCTGCGGCGATGGGCAAGCCGATAAAGCAGCGGAGGGAGGTCTCAAACTGGTTGGACAAGCTCCGCGAGCTGGAGCGGATGCGCGCGTCGCTGCGCAGCCAGCCCGGGGGCAGCGGATCGGCGGCGGGCAGCAGCTTTCTCGCGCAGGTGGGCAGCAGCCTCCTCGCACAGCCTTGCTGGATTGACGAGCATGCACCGGGCGTGCAGCAGCTGCGCGTGTCGGCGCCGGTCATCTCGCCCGGCAAGCAGCACGCGACGCGCTCGCTCAGCGCGGTTGTGACGACGCCGCTCGGCTCGAAGCGTCCGGCCAGCGCGACGGTCGAATACACGCTGCCACCCGACGGCGAGCCGGCGAGCGCCTCAAAGCGGCGCGGCGACCGGCACCGCAAGCGCGAGGAGCGCGCCATCAGGTCAATGGACTTCAGCGAAGCAGCGCAGACCCACGCCTGGGTACGGCTGCCAGTCGATGCGCCACCGTATGGGCTTTCTGCGGAGCTGCTGCTCAGTTCGGCTTGGATTACGCGGCATCTGACCCTGATCGAGCCGGGGAGCTTGGTGGTGGGCGAGCTGCAGCTCGTTGACGAGTTGACTGCTTTTCGCGAGATCCACGTGACGGTCGACGACGCCCACTTCCGCCCCTTGTGCGGATTTCCCGGATATTTATATCCGAACGTAGGCGATTTAGATGACTACCTCAAGAATCCGGTAGCCCCAGACGGGGAGAAGTGGCCGTCGTCGATGTTGGAGAGTAATTGCTGTGGTGCGCCAGTGCAGCTGATGACGATCACCTCCGACGTGAATGGGGTAGGGCGATCAACAGATGCTACAATGGTTGCTTGGCTGCGTCACGACTTCGAAAGTGATGGCTGGGACCACGTCGCCTGGGACTTGGTAGGACGCCACCAAGTCAGTGGCGCGGTGGCGATGGGACGTGTGCCTGAGACGTCGTATGAGTACCTTGCAAAGTTCTATGATGATTTCTATGGAGACAGAGCCACGTTGCGGCAAGACCAAGCCATCATATCATCTCTGACTGCGTCGAAGACCTGTGCTCAATGCAAGGGTGATGTGCCGGATGTTGCGGTGCGCTGGCGATGCGATGCGTGCGACTTTGATTGTTGCTTGGCGTGCGGCACCTCGCAGCAGGAGGACGGCCTTAGTACGGCGGTGGGGTATGATCTGCCTCCCGCGGCGGGAGAGTCCCAAGCCGAGAGCAATCGTCGCAGGGAGCGTCACCGCAAACGCGAGGAGGCAGCTATTCGCGATCTTCACAGGTGGTGCGTGGGAGGTCGCGTGTGCGCGTGACCGTGCTCCGTGGTGTATTTATTTCGAGTTTTGGGACTTTTTGTGTAAATGTAGCGGGGGGCCCCGCCGGAGGCTGGTTACTGATTTCTTTGTTCTTTTTTGTTTGTGTCACAAAATCGACAAACAAGACAACTCTCTCTCTCGTGTGAGTGTTAGAGTTGTTTGGTATTGCTAAAAATCTTCGGCGCGGGCTCTCTGGGCTAGAGGGCTACGGGACCGGCCCCAGCTTCGGCTGAGGGCTAACAAGCTGCCGAGCCCAAATCACTGTGACAGTCGTGATTTCTTGTTGGTTTCCTAAAATCTCTCTCTCTCAAATCTCAACTCTAACAATCCTACGTAATCAAATCTCTCTCTCTCTCTCAATTTTGCGTCAGATTCCTTGCCCCAGACCAGCTCTCAGACTCAAGGAAACTCGCGAGTTTCCAGAATGGAGCACCAAACACCCTCTGTTTTCCCTGGAAATTTCCGGAAACGCAAAGTGCTGGGGACCCCCTGTTTTCCTTTTTGTTTGCCGGAAAAGCTTGTGCAGGCCAAGCTTTTGGCCGGTGCCCGGTGGCCTCGGCCTCTTCGGAAAGGGTACCTCCGGCTGAGCCCTGGTCTGACAGCCTGACAGCAAACCCCGGACAGCGCCTGACAGTGCCCGACAGCCTGACAGCGTTGACAGCACTTTCTCTGACAGCCTGACAGCACGTATCTGACAGCCTGACAGCAGAGCCTGACATCAGAGGCGTCCCGTCGCTGTCAGGCCCTAACCTGACAGCCTGACAGCTGCCCGACAGCCCGACAGCACACAGCGGCCTGACAGCAGCGCTGACAGCCCGACAGCCCGACCAGCCCGACAGCAGCACAGACCGTACACAGGCCGTGCAGCCTCTTTCTTGTGCCCCATGAGGGTATAACAAAACTATTACATGCAAAGACATGTGTGTGTGGTTCATGTAGTCATGGGTTGGTCATGGGTCTCTCTCTCAACCCTCCCGCCCCACCTCTGCGGACCCTGGATGATGATGACGGTGACCACGCCCTTGCCTGCCTGTCACACACACACATAAGACGTGCATTCTCATCTCTCCCTCTTCTCTTTCTCTCCGCAGTTGCGGTGCTCTTCACCATGGAGGACAGCTCCAAGGTCTTTGCCATTGGCAACATCGAGCAGGTGGCCGTCGCCGACGGCACGGTAGACGCGCGCCGCGCCACTGGCAGCTCGAGCGCAGAGTACCTGCGCCAGCTCTCGATGAGTCAGCGCAGCAACGGGGTCTTCATCAACGACCCCAAGGGCCTCTTTATCCTCCGGTGGTACCGTGAGGTGAAGGGTGACGGGACCCCCCCAGACGGCCCGCGCTACCAGAACAGAGCGTGCAAGTACTACAAGCTGACGAGCGACAACGATGGGGAGGCCTTCCGCTGGACCAGCAACTACCAGATCATCAGCAAGGTGTACCTGAAGAAGCACTCCACCCTGCCTCTCTGCTATTCTCTCAGTGCGGCAGACAAGAAGATGGTGACGTCCACCATGAAGAAGATGGTGGGACCGGAGGCAGAGTAGAGACTAGAGTATGTGCAGCAGAGTCCTGCTGGTCTCCTCTTGATAGTGTCATAAGTGTGGCTGGTGTGTGTCAGAGCCTGACAGCACCCCGACAGCACCACCTGACAGCACCTGACAGCAACAGCCCAACGTCTGACAGCAGCAGCAGCCTGACAGCTCTGACAGCTCCGACAGCGTCTGACAGCAACACCCGACAGCTCCGACAGCACCTGACAGCTACAGATCCCCTCTGATGTCAGACACGCACCCGACAGCACCTGACAGCACTGACAGCACCCGACAGCTGGTCTGACAGAGGCACCTGACAGCGCCTGACAGCTGCCCGACAGCCTGACAGATCACCTGACAGCACCTGACAGCACCTGACAGCCTGACAGCCAGGGCTCAGACCTCCGGTGAGATGAGTGGCTGCCAGTTCGAGACTGGGGCCGATCCAACCTGAGTTATTCGGAGGAGGAATCTAGCCAGCACGCCAGCAACAGGCCAGCAAACACAAAACAATCTCTCTCTCTCGCCAGCACGGGCGGGTACAAAGAGGGGGTCCCCGGAGAATCCCCAGCCTGCGGAAACGTAGTGTCGCTCAAGAGGTGCGATACTGCGGGGGAGTGTAAGGTGCCTACCTATGGGCTTCCAGTATCGGACGTTCGGACCTATACGGACTCGGGACCGGTGCTTTGACGCAGCACAGTGTGCTTCGAGGAAGCATGAACTCAGAACGGCCCCCCGAGAGCGCCTCTTCGACGCCCACGGGTCCCGGGGGGTCGGATGGGTTGCGAGAGGGCCCCGGCTATTTTTTGTTTGAATCCCGGAGGCCGTTCGAACATGAATTGACGTTCCACGTGCCCGTCCCCAGCACGGACAACATGCTAGCCCAGCAGGCCGGAGCAGGCCGCTCCCACCGCCGCCCGCGGCGGAGGCAAGGCGGCAAAGGGTGGCAAGGGCGGCGGCAAGGGCGGTGGAAGGGTGGTGGCCGTGGCGCACCAGACCCGCTTTGCGCCGCCGCCCTCAACGCCCGATATACTCGGTTAGAGCCGGCGGAGCGACGGCGGCAGAGGTGCGGCCGCCGGCGACCTCACACGGCGTCGAGCACCGTAGAGACGGCCCCGAGAGCCGCCACCAGGTGTGCCACGACCGCGGCCGCGAGGCTCGTGGCGATGGATGCGCCAGACCCGCTTTGCGCCGCCGCCCTCAACGCCCGGTACTCGGTCAGAGCCGGCGGAGCGACGGCAGCGGAGACACGGAGTTGCGGCCGCCGGCGACCTCACACGGCGTCGAGCGCCGTAGAGACGGCCTCGAGAGCCGCCACCAGGTGTGCCACGACCGCGGCCGCGAGGCTCGTGGCGATGGATGCGCCAGACCCGCTTTGCGCCGCCGCCCTCAACGCCCGATACTCGGTCAGAGCCGGCGGAGCGACGGCGGCAGAGTTGCGGCCGCCGGCGACCTTCCCCTCGACCACGCCGCCGACCCGTCGACAAGCACGCGCGGACTGTCATCGAGAAGAAGGAGAAGGATGGCGGCGCATCCGGAGCCCGCGGGCGCGGCGTGGGCGGGCGCGGGCGCGGGCGGGCGCGCGGGAACCCCGCCAGCGGAGGCGACACAATGCCTCTGGCGGCTCTGCAGGCGGCGCGCGGCGCGCCCCTCGCCGGTCTCCCGCACGCTCCTGAGGGCCGAGAGGGCCGAGAGGCGGGGTTGGTGACCCGGGGGCATGGGCGGTGCGGCCCGCGCCGCGCGCGGGCGCGTGGCAGCCCGTGAGTGCCGAGATCGGGTCTGTGCTTCGACAAAGCATGGGCCCCCGGGGGCCCATCTACAGCAGCGGCGAAGTGAGCGTGTTTGTGGTGTTGGTGTGGCGTCTGAGCTTGGATCTGTGACTAAAGCCGCTTACCACTGATGGATCCCCACCCGAATAACACACAGTGAGCGCCCCAGCGCTTCACTACGCCCTCCGCGCGAAATCGCTAGTGGTGCTTTGTGGAAGCACATTGTGCTTTGTGGCAGCACAGGTGCGGTGCCCGAGACCGTATAGTATGCATGTAGGGACTTGCGCTTTTGGGCGGTGGCAGCCTCTCTTCGGACAGAAATTCACGGAGGTCGTCGCTTGGTTAGGTTAGGTGGGAAGGCGAAAACAGTCTCGCTCGGACTGGACACCAACGGTATCCTTTAGGACGCTGGAAGAAAAAAGAAACAAACGCGAACCCGCCCGCCCATTCGACCGTTCTATATGCTGTCGCTCTCCGTCTTCGTGGACGAGCTCAGCAGCATTTCTGCGGATGTCGCAGCCCCCGCCGTGGTGTTCCGAGTCGATGACTACCCGAGCCTCGCCCTCCGCCCACGACCCTTTGGTTCCGCGCTGAAGAAGGGACGTACCGCCCTCCCATTTCGATCAGGCAAGGCCTGCCTCATCTCCGCCCACGCGCCTCGCCCACGCACCCTGCAGCTGCTCCTCGTCGACCTCATCGAGCCGCCTCGCGGTGACGGCAGCGGCGGCGGCAGAGGCCTGCTTCTGGGCCGAGCGAGCATAGCCCTCACGACGTGCGAAGCCAACGAGGGCTTCTCCAACGGCGAGCTCCCGCTGACCGACCTCGCCGGCTGCGCGGTCGCCACTCTCGTCCTCCGCGTCCGCCTCGCAGCGCAGGACCCGACGCTCACCCCCCTCCTCGACGGCCAAGCCGCGGCGGAAGCTCCGCTGCTGCGCCCAGAGGAGCCGCCGCGCCGCACAGAGACGGCGGCTGCCTCGTCGGACAGCATTTGGGGGGCAGGGTCGTCCAGCACCGCTCCGCCCGGCGATGCTGCCTCTGCCTCATGCGGATCGGCGCGGGTGGCGGTGCCCTCGGCGGCGACGTGTCCCACAGCACCTGCTGCCACCGATCGGCCTTCGGCGGCGATGGGCCCTCCCGGCGGCGCCACCGAGCCGGCCTTGCACCCGACACACGCCGGCGTGTGTGGGGAGGGGGTGGACGGGCCCGGATGGGCGCATGCTCTTCCTTCTCCTCCTCCTCCTGCTCCTGCTCCTCCTCCTCCTCCTGCTGCTGCTGCTGCTGCTGCTGCTGCTACTGCTACTACTGCTCCGGCCGGTGGGCCGTTGAAAGGGCCGCCGCCGCCGCCAGTCCGCGCGGCGCCAGCGCTCTTCTACCACAACGACCCCGCCGCCATCGCCGAGCTCGAGGCCGCGACGGCGGCGGCCAAAGCGGCCGCCATTGCCGCAGCCGCAGCCTCTTCTTGGGGCGGAAGCGGCGCCGCCGTTGCGCCGCCGCAAGGGGAGTCGATGGCGGCGGCGGCGGCGGTGCGCGTGGCGGCGGCAGCGGTGCACGAGGCAGCCTCTTCCGCCGCGGCGGACGCGGATACGGTTTGGCGTCGGTGGAGCGAGGCAGCTGAGTCTCAGGCCGTCGGCCATGACGCGGCGGTCACCTCGTCCCTCCCCCGTCCGCGCCTCGCCGCGCCA